AAACATGTCACAGCAAATTGAAAGTTTGTCAAAGGAAAAATCATCTTTGGAGGAGGAACTCAATGAGGAAAGGAGGAAGGAAGAGGATAAAGACAAAGTTATCAAGGAACTTGAAATTAAATTAGACAGCTTAAAAAAAGAGAATGAAAACCTGACAGAGAAAAACTTGTCCTTGGAGAAAGGCATAGAGGAAAAAAAGGATAAAGTAAAGGTAAATGTAATTAAAGCTGATCTAGAGGTCTGTTGATTATCTAAAATATACACAGCCCAATTAAAGTAGACTTTGTCACAATAACAGGTCTACTATATTGTTTTAAACAATCAACGAAATGAACTCTGTCACAAGAAAATACCTCAACCAGCCCAGGTCTCAATCTCTTTTTTGATAAGTGGCTGCTGATGGTGTGATATAGGCTGCTGTGTTGTAAAGCAGAACTTGAACATGATAGCCCACTGACAAACACTGAACAGCTGGTAGTAAGAGGTCTTGCTTTTACTAAAACCTCGTTAAAACCCTCAAATATTAAACTTTTTGAGGCAGTGGCAGGAAATAACAGATACAGATGAATTAGGAATTGGAGCTTTCACTTTAAAATAGTTTAATTGAACCACAAATTTGATTTTAAAAAACATTTGCATTTAAATTATGTATTTTATTCTTTAAGACACTTACAGATCAACTACAACAAGAAAAAGAAGTCCATGAACAAGCTATTACAAACCAGACACCTGAAAAAGATCAGCTTGTTACTCAACTAAAAGAAGAAATTTCCAAACTTCAAGTCCGAATTACAGAACTAGAAAATGGCCTAGAAAATGCTCAAAAAGAAAAGGAAGAAACAATTACTTCTTCAAAAGAGAAAGTTAAACAACTTGAAGCTGAGAACAGAAGTAAGGAACAACAGCTAGAGGATGCCAAGGAGGATGTGAACAGGTCAATGACTTCTTTGCGTGATCAAGAAGAGATGGCTAGTGGCCTGAAAGAAGAGAATGAATTGCTTAAGAGTCAAGTTTCTTCGCTGGAAGAAGAAATTAAAAAAAGCAAGGAAGAACTAGAAAAAGCGCAGGAAAAAGAACGAAAGGTTCTTCTACAAGAAAAATCCAAACTTCAGAAGGAACTCAACAATGCTAAAACTCTAAATAGTCATCAAGACAATGCTGTTCAGAAGCTCAAGAATGAGAAGACTGAGTTGCAAGAGAAGAATAGAAAACTGGAAGAGGAGCAGAGATCATTAGCTGAGCAGAAAATTACGAAAGAATCTCAGAGAAAACTGCAGGAAAGGATCCATGAGCTGGAGGATAAGGTGATCAAAGTCAATGAAGATAAAAAAAAGGTTAAAGCAGATTATGAAGAGGCTGTGAAAGCTTTGGAAGCTGTAGACAAAGTGGTAAGTTGTAAAAGTTGTAGAACCTTATTGTAAGTATTAACTCTTTACACCCGAACATCAGTTAATATTTACAAGTTGTCTATACTGCTGTCTAAGTATACAGCTATGAAGAGGTTGTAATAGCTTTGGAAGTTGTAAACAAAGTGGTAAGTTGCAAAAGTTTTAGAACCTTATTGTAAGTATTAACCCTTTACACCCTAACATTAGTATATATTTGCAAGTTGTCTATACTGCTGTCTAAGTACATGGCTATGAAGAGGTTGTAAAAGCTGTAGACAAAGTGGTAGGGTACAAAAAATATTGTAGAATTCTGAACCATCTTATAAGGAACCAACTCTAATTACACCTAACACCAGTATGCTAATACTCTAAAAAAAAAAGTATACTGTTGTCTATACATTTTCTTTGGTATTTACAAAGAGAATTTGGCTAACAAACAAGAGGCTCTTACAACCTTAATTTTTAATTCAGGGGCCTTAAAATGGTAGGTGCATATTTGTGGTGGGCGCTAGTCTGAGGTTGGGGGCTAAATTGAGTAACTATTGTCACTTACAGTAATTCAAGTGTTGTGTAAATCAATCTGTCAAGAATAAATGTGTTGTGCATTTAATTTGTAACACTACTTTTATATTTTTGCCACAGTATCGTGTCAGAGAGGATACTCTAGAAAAATACAAAGCTGACTATGAAGATGCCATGGACTTGATTAAAAAAAGTAAGCTCATACTGCAGTGGTAAATAAATATTATTTAGTACAAATATTTTATCAAATATGATATTTTTGACCAGAGAATGGTATTTAATATGAAGTAATCTACATACAATCATGCTTGCTGTAACCCACTTATAAAAGCACATAATAGGTATATGTGACTGGTGTGGATAAATTTACAAGTTGATGTGGAAATTTAGTATAATTTTATTATGTGTTCAGAGCTTTCATAATCTAAAAGATCACAAAGTTAATGGTTCAATCAATGGTATCCCAATTACAGAGGAAAAAGAGAATGCTAAGCTGGAGAGTGATCTTTCAAAAAATAAAGAGAAGCTTACAAGAGCTCTGGAATACAGAGCAGATCGAGAAGAACTCAAAGATCAAATTAGGAGAAGTAAACAGGCAATCGAGTCACAGAAAGAGGAAGTAGAGCAGGCCAGGAAAGACTTAGATGAGGAAAGACACACATTGAGGATGGCACAGTGAGTAGGGCACAAGTCTGCATGGTCTCACAGTTGATCAAGATATTATCTTTACTTTGTTTCTACGCTTTGGAGCACACTGGCTTTTTCTTCCCCCCTCCCCCTCAGGCATTTGAACTTTTGGAGGTTGGTTCATTGAAATTCCTGATCCATGGAGCCAAAATTGTGCTCAAATGCCCCGCCCAAGTACTGGTTTCATCCTCAATTTTTTTGTTTTTGTGAAAGGCAAATTATTAGCCCCTGTGACTCTCTTGTAGACCCTTCCTTCTGAGCCATCTGCCCACAATGACAGTTAAATGCTTGTGGGTTGCCCAGGAGGATGTTGAAGCTTCAAATTGAATGGTGTAAATTACATCTACAAACTGACTGAATTCAAAGTGAATATATATTAATAAGAAAAGGTGTTGCATGATCATGCAATTTTTTATTCTTTTTGTTAAATCAGGGCCAGAGCTCAGGAGAAGGGAAGAAAAATTCAAATTTTAAATCTGGAGCTCACTGAAGTCAAGGACACCTTGCAGGTTTGTTTCTTTGGTTTATTCCTATTTAGATGACTGTGTCAATATGAATAAATTTGTATCATGCTTTTCAGATGAGTGATTATTTTCTTAAAATGTTTCCCTTTTTATTTTCCATTCACATTACTCGTGGTGTTTGTGTCAATTTTAGATTGCCAGGAATGTTATTGATGAAAAAGAAAAGAACATGAAAAGTTTGAGGGAAAGTTTGGAAACTGAGAAAGAATTAAGGGTCAAGCTGGAAAAGGTAGGTCAGGCTGACAACGAATTTATTTTTAAGTTGTAACAATGATCAGTCAATTTTAGCAGTGAAAGAATAAAGCATCAGACCTTAGAGGTCACCTTTCATTTATTAGAGGGGAGAAGGCTGGTGCAAAATGGGGGAAGGGTCATTATATTTTATACAACCAAAAAGGGGAGGGTCATGGAATTATTCCATGACTTGAAAACATTTTTCTCTATTTCGTTACCATGCTAAAAATTAACCATCTTTCTTATTCTATTTATCTAAATATTGTTTAATAAAATAGATACTTATATATGTGTATAAATATGTATATAAATACATATGTTTCTTATTGGGCTTTCTATAAATCCAGCTGTTGTGTAATTCACATGCAGCTGTATGCAAGTATTGTAAAAAATATGATTAGAAGATATTTTGATTCTTGTAACAGATCATAAGTAAAGAAATTCTTTTTTGTGAACATAAGAAACGTAATAAATATCAGTAAATTTACAATTTTTCATTTTCAACAGGAGCTAGACATCAAGTCACATATTGAGAAGAAATTGAAATTTACAGAGGAGGAGAAACATAGAGTTGAATGTCGGCTGAAAAACACTGAACTGGAGTTAAAGGAAACCGAGACAAGTCTGGAACAATCAAATAGCAAGAGAAAAGTAAGTTGAAAGTTAAGAGAGCGTATTGAGTACCAAAATTGAAAACAGCCCTACCCCACTCAACCCCCCTCTCTCCCCCCCCCCCCAAAAAAAAATGGAAGAACAAAGTGTTATGCAGCAGCCTCACAAAGTTCACTGCCAAAAGGCCGTGATGATCCTGTTCCTTCCATTTCAGCCTATTGCCGGCAGAGGCTACCTTATTAACGGTGTGGCATGGGTATGGTATTGTCTACAGTTTACGAACCAGAGACATTTCATATTTTGCGGGAACGAAAATATTCAGATTCAAATGATAGCAATTTCTGCAAGGAATTTAATTTTTGCGATATTCTGTTTAAAGAGTCGGACATTTAAAAGAAAAGAAGCATAATATTATTACAATTATAAATTGTCTAATTATACAGAGTGGGCCTACATGGCAGGTGATGTATAGAGTGATATTACGAGTGAGTCGGAGTATAAAGATAATGAAGAGACGCTTGATTTGCCCGCTGAGCTTTAATTCTTAATTGGGCTGTAGGTCGTACATTCTTTAAGCGTATAATGTCTTTTATTTCCTCTTTTTTTCTGAAACTTACTGCGCGGATCGAAGTGTCTCTGAAATTGGGAGCCGCAATTGGTTTTTGCTATCCGGTATTTATTTACTTGGATTTCTCAGCTTCATCTTGCTGTTCAATTCCATCTGTACAAAAACCCTGACAATCTCTTCGTCTGAATCTCTACCTTGCAGGAACTGGACCAGAACATAGAGAACTTACAAAATGACAAAAAGCAACTCAACAGTCAACTTGAAGGAAAATCAGCTGAAATATCAACCTTGACTGGACGCATCAAAGAGCAAGAAAAAAACTTAGGTGAAAAGTTCATGGAAATAGTACGGCTTCAAAGTGTAGTTGATGACCTTAAAGACCAGCTTGAGGACGTGTTGATATCTTATGAGAATGACCGTGACTGGTGGAAGCAGAGAGCTGACAAAGTGTTGGGGTAAGTGTGAAGGCATTATTTTGTATCGCAAATTATCTAAAATAAAACCTGCTAGTAAAAATTAATTCGACCATAATCTTTGAGAAAGATTTTCAGAAGCAATCTGCCTACCTTAGCCGTTAGCCTGATTCACTGACCCATTTTCGCGGTAAAGATTACACTCTTCAATTTGAATAGAGCAACGGCACCTTCTGTCTCAACAAAAAAAATAGTTATTTGAGTCATGAACGCCTTTTTTGCAAGAGAAAAAAAATTAGAAAAAAAGGGAGGGAGACTGATTAGGAATTGGTTAGCGGCCAAGTTTCGAGGTAATATTCAAATGGCGGCATCCTTATTCTCAATTTTACCACATTTCAAGACAATTTCAGAACGATAAGTATCCTTGAGGTAGGAATTTAAAACCCCTATTATAATATCTTATATAATTTTTTAACACGTAGGCAATACGTAAATGCTTTTGGGACAGACTAGTTTTGGATCGATGTCAGTGGGTGAGCAACTGCGCACGTATTCCTGAAAAAAAGGAAAGATCCTTGACCCTTCACTGTGATATGTAAGTGTCTCAGGGGTGATTTTACAAAAACACCTTTCCTTGCAGGAAGAGACCTAAAAGCGCCCCACCCAAGAGGAGGCCAGGCAGTGAATTTCAAAGTGGTGGATCAAGTTTAGTACGTAGACGCCTTGCGCACAAAATGGGTCCACCGTGTTTGAACCAAAGTTACATTAATAGCTCACATAAGGTAGACATACATCAATGTTACTCAGACTTATCTCAGTTTGGTGAGCCGTAGCTTGTAAATTGTACTCAAACGCTTTCAGATTGAGTGTCCTGAAAATCAACTCAAAATAATCAAAACAGCCAATCGGAGCAAATGTAATAATTTCACAAGGATTCCGTAAGAGCTCAAAAAAAATATTTGTAGTCTGCCCATGGCACGGTGTAAGGCAAGTGGCCAATTACCGATTGGGATTAGTTTTGCTTTCTGTTTGTAGCAGAAGGTATCGTTTTAGATTGTAACTTTTCTAAACTAAACAGAGAGTGAAATAAAGCAAAACCAAAGCGATCGCACATTTCTTTCCATGCTTATTTGAAAATCGGGTATATTTAGTCGGTCTGCTTGATTTTATTTTGGTTTCCTTGTGATCTTTCCTTGTGATCTTTTCCTGTCATTTTATTTCCGACGTGGTTAGTTTGAATTTGGTTTTGCTACAATTAATAACCCTTTCACTCCCAAGATCTCATTAGTAATTCTCCTTACTGTCTGCCATACAGTTCTTATAATGTTAGTTCTGAGAATTTGATATTGAATCAACTAATAATCCTCTAACTGATATTTTTCTGTATTCTCATCACTTGCCTGTTTGATATTGTATTGATTTACTAAGAAGAAATTCTGTCTTGGTCGCTTATGGGAGTTAAAGGGTTAAGGAACGCTTCATCACAAACTTCGAGTTAAATAGTTAATTTTGTGACGATAGATTGGACGGATGAGACCTGTACCTGCAGGAGAAGAACAAACACCTCAAGTCACAAACGGTGATCTTGCTGATGGCGGGCCAGGACATCATTCAGCACCGGAGACCACCCCTAGACCTCCAAGTGCTTCTCCTTCAGACAGGCCGAGACCGAAACGTCCCATGTCGTCATATGGTGTAAGGTCACACACACCTCTCCTGACTTGGTCACGTGATACAGCGGGATACCACAGCGACCTGGGTGGTATTTCGGAGGGAACCGGTCTTAATGGTTACGATGCTGATGATGAAGTTTTCTCTTCGGGTAGTGTCCATAAAGGAGACAAAGTTATGATACAAAGCAGAGTAACTGGTACGTAGTGTAAGAGTTATCATCACTATTTTCTGTCCCATGCCTCGTGCGGTTTCGCCGTTCGTTTTCACGGTTCCACCACTTGATGCATTAAAGCGCCCACAAAACCGCAAGCTACATGTGTTAAGACGTTAAGATTCAATAGTACATTACGATTAGGAGTTTAAGATTTTCATAGCAATGTTTTTGGCTGAAAAAATATCGATGGTTTCCTGAAGCGCTTAAGCTAAATTACGCGGATACAAGGGGCCTGAACAAGGATAAAAACACAATTTATCTTCATCAGATTTCGCGAAAAACAGACCCATAACGTTTGACGGACAAACAGCTCTCCACTTGACTCTGATGATAGCTTCCGCTTAGGTTGTCGAAACGTCTGTCACTACTACAAGCAACAGTCCTTTTCAATACTATTCCCACTCGGACGACCCGAGTTCACGATCAACTATTTACTTATTTGTCGTCTCTCTCTTTCCTCAAAGGAGAAGAAAAGATGAACTTGACAGGAATGGTGAAGTACGTCAGCAAATTTGATAGCGGTGGGAGTATATTTGTAGGACTCAAAATTGATCACCCAGGTAAAGAAGCAACCATGAGTAGGATGGCTCCCAGGCTCTCTCTTCTACCTTGGAGAACGAGGCTGGGTTAAATGGCCGCAACCAATAGATTAATACTATTAAGGATGTTGAAACTTTCAATATTTCTGTTTCTGGAGGCTGACAGCTCATGAACTTCAAATCTGCCATTCAGTTCTGAGGACCCCCTTGAAATTCTAGTCTGTAATATTGTCCGTTCTTCCCATCCCCTAGACCTACATTTCATCTGTCCACCCCATTCCTCTTTAAGAGAGGCCGCTTTTGAAAATGAAACAGAACGCAAGATCTGAGGTTATTTCAGCTGGCCTAAGACTTTTATGAGCAGAACATTATTGCCAGTTTTGTCGAGATTCAATTGGTCACATGGTAGTCGCATGGATTGATGGAGTTGAAAAGCAAAGCCTTCATGTTTTTTTGTTCTCTTACAAAATATTATTCGAGCTTTGCTTACTATTTCTCTAACCTTGTAACCTTTTATCTTCAGGAGCTTTTGGTGGTCAGGAATATAGCAGAGTGAAGCTGTCAGACATACATGCTGTTATGAATCCTCGTGTAGGTACTTTTAAGTTTTGTTTGTCCGTTTGTTTGCCATCGACGATTAATTTTGAACGCCGTGACCAGCTACTCTTTAATCCGTACCACTAACTTGAACTGCGAAGAAATACGAGAAGGAGGCTATAATTCGTCAATAGTGAATGGATCAAAAAAGCTCTAGGAAATAGCATCAAGTTCGATTTAGCAGGATGTTCGAGTTTTAAAGATACATTCATCAATGGGCTATAATTAACTTATAGGGTATAATTTTCATGTGCTCTAAACACGACAACATGTTTTCTTTTCTAACACTTGGGTGTTTTGCGCATGTATTTTGTATGCTAGATATGAAAATTAAACGCGCGCTTGACGCGCGTGTTATATACGATTTCAATGGGGTTAACCGATAGCCTTAAAACGGCCAAACCTTTAACCTTAAAAAAAGGTAACCGTTCAAAAAAATTCTGGTGACAACAATGGGATGATGTCAACCGTTAGTCATAAAATGGCCATAGTTTTAACTGCAAGCCGTAAAAGCCGTCACACCATTGAGACCCTCGTAATGGCGCAATATACGTGTAAGCAATTCTGTATTAAAAAATTAGAACTCCTAGTTATAAGAATATTTGTCCTTTTTGCAGACTCGTAACTTCTCTCGCATCAGACCTATGACATTTGACTAAATGCAATACCCACACTGACGGCCAGTCATGGAATGCTATTTTGCAATTGATGCATGAAGTCCCATTGCAAGAGCGCAAGTCGACCGAAGGAATCATCTGTCATTCAAAATAGTTAGTGTTAACCCTTCACACCTTAACGTCAGTATCCATATTCTCCATACTCGTCTTTATACATTTCCTTAGAAACTGACAAGGAGAATTGGTTTAACAATCAAAGCTACTTAGTTTGGCGATCATTTCTTCAATTCTCATGATCGTAATGAATGATTCACCAGTATTATTGCAGAGAGAAATTATATGTTAGTCACTCGTAGAGTTTAAAAGATTTAAGAGGCATTTACTGCTCTTCTCCCATTTCACATTGACCTTCTTTACAGACGCTAAGCAAACAATTAGATTGATTTTTTAAATTTTTATGAGTGTGTTCATCAGTAGATCCCAATTATTTCTTATATAAGAATGTTCTAAGTATTCATGCATTTGAATGTTTTCTCACAAAAAATATTTTTTTGGTAAATCAAATTTTATAAAATCGACAAATCATTTTAATATTTATTTTATTTTTTTTTTGGTATCTGATATTTTTACTGTGGTAGAGCTTTCAATTATGAAATGACCAACGATTTGAACGTTTTTTTCACCAACTATATAGAGTGTAGTATTAAAACGAAAATAGTGTTTAATTTGTACGTGTATATAGTGCCGGATAATTTGAGAACTTATATAGCCGTGTGACAGTTGCAAATGTGTAAAGTATTTTTCTAGCTATTACAATTAGATACGCCCATAAATTTACATTTAATCTTTAACTTGATTTTATAATACCCTAGACGTCTTACTCAATTAAAAGATACTAAAAATGTTTTACGTCACTTTTGTTTACTGTTTACTTAATAATTTCCAAGGGTATGGTAAATTGAAGGTAATCGTGTGCAATGATCAATTATATTGTGTTTGTATATATCAAAACACAAACCCACTAAACGCCAATCTAAATTGATATTCAACTCTCCAAAGAGGCTCCAGTGACAATAATTCCTTCACGAGCTTGTGTTACGATAGAAAACAACTTTACAATAGTAGTATTTACTTCAAGGAATTATGACGAATACTGAGGAGTAGCTTAAGATATACTGAGAATCCGTCCACGGTGTAGAAGCAGTAATCCTTATCGCTTAATGCTTAGTAACCGGTATACGCTCCGCTATTTTGCCTACTTTTTCTAGCCATGTCTTGCCGATGTCAATCATTCATTTCGGAACAGAGGAAAGACTTATGTTTCTGACAGATGACATAACTCTAACAGAACACTGACATCAAGCAGAGTTTGATACTTTCATTTATTAACTGCGGAACAGAGGAAAGACTTAAATGTTTCTGACAGATGACGTAACTCTAACAGAACACTGACATCAAGCAGAGTTTGATACTTTAAAGACAGTGACACAAATTTTATTGACAATATCGTTCAGCACACGTAAAGTTGTGGAGTGACATAAACTTGATTTCTATTTCTGCTTTTCTTCTTGAAATTGGTAATGAAGTTTGGCCACATCTGTTTGAGAAACCTTGATCCATCCATTCTGTCTCATATGGTACACTGTTGAAAAAGGAGAAGGAAAAGACAATTTACATAAATTAATTTTCTAAAACCAAACTATGTAAAAATTTTCTTCCAAAGTTCTTCAGGGCTTTGAGATAGACAAAACTGTTGTTTCTTTTGTTTGTTTTTTGTTCATTTTTTAATTTATTTTATTTGCAAGAAGAGTGCAATTCTGGTGCAGTTTCCTTAAAGATTTTGTTAGCAATGCTTTGATAAGCAACTGGTTTAAAAAATGGATTGTGGTAGGGAGAGTGATAACATGCCAATAGTAATGGTATCGGAGTCAATGCTTAAATTCCTGGGTTGGTGCATTTTGTATAGGAACTTTTAACCAGTATTTTATTTTCAAATCAGTACATCCTCCTCTGTATACTCACAGTTCACCACTCCCCCACTGTATGCATCTCTGTGAGTGGCGTGGTAAATAGCTCTCTGACCCAGGTCATAAGCTTCTTCAACACTCAAATCATACTTATAGCCGCTGTCTAACACACCATAAGCATAGGTAGAACCAGAGCCAACAGAGAACATGTCATTGGACAGGCGAGTGCCATCACTATCAACATAGTACAGACCTGGCCCCTAAGATAATGAAGTAAAATGTTTATTTGTTTTTTTTTCTAGTGAGCATTGCAATTAATCTTACAATCTGCTTAGTTCTTCAAATGGACTAGATTTCCTATTGCTGTCTAGTCACAGCTAAACTTTCATAAGTTTTTGTCCATGCCTCAAAAAAAAATTGAGACAGCTTCCTGTACACAAATTTATGTTTAAGAGGATGAACTCATCTACTTCATGGAGTCATACAGCTCTGACTAGCATAGCAGGGGTGAATCTTATAGTAAAGTTGCTATGGTTTACAAAATTCACAAAGCACAATGATTCAGAGAAATTGAGGGAAAGAAATAACAGAGAAACCACAGAAAATAGTGTACACCACTAACAAAAAAAAAAAATAAAAAATTCAATCAACTCACTCTTTTATCCCAGCCACATATCATGGTTCCCTGCAAAATAAAGATTTCATGAGAAAATGATACAGTTATGAAACTGAACCATGTTAAAACTTAAAAAAAAAAATCTAGAAAGGCATCTAAAATATCAATGGTTAAAATAGCTAATTTACAAGACCAATGACTCAGCTGACCATTGCAAGCTGGCTAACACTCACCATGGAGAGCCCCATGCCTTTGTAGTTGTACACCATGTTGGCAAGAAGCTTAGATGCAGCAGCCACAGAGATTCTCTCTTTATTGCGCAACTCATAAATCCTGCATGGTTTGTATGAATTTTAAAAAAAATCATCTCTATGTTTCAAGATAAAATCATTTGCTCAAAATTCAATCCCAAGCCGCTTTGACAACAAAATTATTCCCATCTGTTTTCAACCTTCTTCAAGGTAATTTGTTAAATCAGTGCACTGAGTCTCTTTTTGATTAAATTTCAAGTTTACACTATGAAAGGAGGTTTGGAGGCTTTAAGTATTTCAACATAAATGTGCCCTTCCTAAGACTATTTGATCAAGGCTATTTAATTTACATGGAATAATTATATCCTGGCTATTCAAGAAAATAAGAAATACTACCCAAAACATATGGTACATGCTAGAGTTATCACCTGCTGTTTGACTAATAGAAACTCAATTTAACTTCCACAATCTGATTATAAATTCTCCCCTCTAGTTGCTACATATTTCCTTATAAATTAGTTACAAGAATTTGGTGTTAGATCAAGTTATCACATTCTACCTGATATGTTAAAGCATTTTCATTACTGGTTTTCTGGATAGTGTTTGGATATTAAAGAGAAAAGTTACATGTTAATTACTTTTGGGAGTTAAAAGGTTAACTGTTTAAAGAAGTCTTAACAAACCCAATTTGGAACAAGCTTTATTACCTGCATTGTTTGGCAAGAAGTCTCTCCCAGAAAGAGCAGTCAGCAGCTCCCCCAGCCATTGTCCCAAGAAGATATGGGTTGATTTCAATCACTTTTTTCACCGTCTGTGAGGCTACACAACAGTACAAGTAATCAGTTTATCAAGAATGTCGTAAATTCAATCATAAGGATTATTGAGAACCAAATACCTGTTATGATACCTATAGGTGGTAATTGAGAATCAGTAAAGTTAATCGCATAGGACCAAGTAAAGCTTAAGATTAATATCACATGTGTTTTCAGGAGTTACAGAAACAATAAGGGGAATTTCTGCTACTACTAAAAACACAAGTGATAGTAATCCTTAATTTAACGGAGAAACAAGGCAATTACTTGTTTTATGAAGAAGGTCAAAAATGCATGCCGTTATACACTCAAAGAAAGCCATTTCAGTGTTCAGTTGGCATCAATGAACTGTAAAATGCATGAATCAGCAGACTGAAATTTTATTTTCATACAACAATACTAAAGCAATGAAATCAGCCCTGCTATAAAAACAAACGCCATCAACAAAATAACAATATGTTTAGACAAAGTTAAGCCTTTTTAGATGTTTCCTAAATTTTGGTAATTGTCTGGGAAATTACCAAAATCAAAGAAAGTTCCTCTCTGTCTCAGCCAAAGAGCTTAGGTAATTTTGCCATCTATTTTATAACTCTTATAATAACACTTTACAATGACTGGCCATGACACCCACTCAAGAGAGAGTCTTCAACTTGAGGAAAACCAACTTACCAATGTAAGATCCAGCCGTTGCTCTTGAATCAACTGCTACAATGACACCATGTTGGAATTTGAAGGCCAAAGTAGTTGTTCCATGGTCAAAATGGATCTTAACATCACTTTCTCCATTAGCAAAAGGTCTTAAAAACTCTATGGGCTAAAAATCACAAGTAAAGACAGTTACATGTTAGACAAGTTTGACAGTTGCATCTCTTTCAATTTTTCTTTGGGACATAGATTAAAGCTTGTTTTTATTGTTGTGTACTTTATTGAAAAGAGAAACTGGGTCCAATTTTTTCAACACTGCTGTTATCTTGTCTGGAGAGTATGTATGAATGATTTTTCATTTCTTACTACACATTTCACACAGCAGAATCATCTTTGAAGTCATCAGAACTTGCCTGCCATACTCTGCAGCCTGGGCTGCAATGAACCATATTTACCTATTGCAGAGATGCCAACCTGTGGAGATCTCAAATCTAGAGATTTTTTTTTGGACCAGCACATCCCCCCCCATGTGACTCCCCTCCAGAAAATTCTTTTTCAATCTGGACCCTATACCCCCCCCAGCAATTCTGCAGGAAAAACATGGATCTATCTGTCAGGGACTTCAATTAGTTGAATATTTATCCAATCAGACTCTTGCTTATATAAGTGTAACAAAGAAAAAACTCTGTTCTTTTTGTTTGCAACAACAACTGTACAATCGTGCATCACACAAGAAAATGATGCCAGAAACCATAATAAAAGCATAAGAAGCCAGATGATTTTGGAATTTTGGAACTTATGGAGCTTAAATCCTAGTTTTTTTGTGGGCAACTGATCCAAACTTCCTTTTATGCAGGAGTTTTGGTTACCCATACAGGAGAGCAGAAGATTGGCTCTGTATCCGGGAGAGTTGGCATATATGCTACTGCATTTTCAAGAAAAGAAAGACTTTACAAAAGCTGTATCTTTCATAAAAAAATTGAATGTATATTAAGAGTTTTGCCGGTTAATCAGGTTCTAAATGACTCAGTCACTATCCACAACAGAGTTAAGTGACTGAACTTAAAAATCCTACCCTGACAAAATGAAATGCCATTTCAGTAAGATGCAGTTGCAATTGACGTTGAACTGATCACTTATACGCTGCTTTTAGAAGCTAAATACTTATCAAACGCTATAAAAACTATAACCACAGCCATGTTTTATAAATTAATGTGACAAATTCCTCGAAACTGCTCTTTAACTTGCAAATAATTCGATTTTTATCACGTCCCTCCGGCACGTGGACTTATGTCAGAAAAAAGCCTCTTTTAATTACGGACGACTTAAAGTAGGTATACACATAAATCACGGAGGAAATACCAAACCTCCGAGTGTAATAATAATTTATCATTCTAGAAGCAAAAAAATCGTTATCCTCCAAAATGAGTATTTTCAGGGACCACATAGACATAAGCTGGGACCCGACATTGTCTGAAGTAGATGACGAAGCATTTTCAAGATTTGCCAAGAAGTAAGAAATTATGGACTTACATCGGTTCCAGGAGGAACTGCAAATCGGCATTCATTCAAAAAATTTGCTGATAGATCCCTGGTTAATTCTTCATCTCTTGATGCTCCCCTCCTTTGTCCAAAAATATCATTCAAAGACAGATTTTTGTAGCTTTGAGCTGCTGCTTGTACCGCCATTTTGATCTACCCGATATGCTTTGCAGCCTCTATTCCAGGTAACATTAATATCCGGTAGGGGGTGGTGTTCGTATACGTTTGTGCTCCGTTTTAAATAGGGAATGTAAAATAAACGAAGGAAAAAACACCAAATTCATATGAAGCACCACAAATGGTCCATTTTTATTGCGAAAAATTTTCATAGAGTCAACATTAAATGAGAGTGTCTCAGTTAAAACGCGATATCTTCATCTTCCCTTCCCGCCCCCCGTCGATAAGAGGGAAATAAAAGAAAGAGAAATGTTTTATGTGACATCACTTGAAACTACATGAGTGCGGTGGGAATCATCATGGGGGACGGCAACAGTACCTTATGGCCGTTCAAAACTGTTTTTATAACAGGAGCGAATCGGGGAATCGGATTAGCACTCGTCAAGCGATTTTTAAGCCTTTGCCATCCTCCAGAATATGTCTTTGCCACTTATCGAACATTAGAGACAGCCTCAGAGCTGAAATCGCTCAGCGAAGTGAACACGAATCTTAACCTGTTAGAATTGGACGTCAACAACATCGAGAGCTTCGATAAAGTTGTTTCAGAGGTGGATAGCAAATTAGAGAATCGCGGTTTAGATTTGTTGATAAACAACGCAGGAATTATGGACAGGAGTAAGTTGGATGCTGTAACCGCTGAGGGCATGATTCAAGTTTATAAAACCAACGTCGTTGCTCCGTTGATGTTGACCAAAGCGTTCTTGCCTCTTCTTCGCCGTTCTGTATCTCAAAGAAACAAGGACGATTCTTCTAAGACTTTCATTGTCAATATGTCATCTGGAGCTGGCTCCATAACAAATAACACGTGGAGTGCGATGTACCCATATCGACCGAGCAAAGCGGCATTGAACATGATTACGAAATCTTTAAGCGTCGACCTAGCTGACGAGGGGATCATGGCAGTTGCGTTACATCCAGGATGGGTTCAAACGGACATGGGAGGATCAAATGCTTCGCTAACGATTAAAGAATCGGTTGATGGGCTGATTACAGTCATCGGCTCTTTAGACGAGTCAAAGAATGGAGGATTCCTGGATTATACTGGCAAGACATTACCTTGGTAGAGCGATTCAGACAGGGCAGCCCTGCTGGGAATGAGTGTTGGTTAAACTAATAGAGACAGGAGAGCCTTATGGCGTCTTTAGGAGATGATGTATTTACCAGCCGAACCGACAAAGATACTTTCTTCTGGAACTCTAGGCGATAGCCAGATGATGAGAGGCTTCAATGATAGGCTTTGAGCCCTACTTTTATGTGAATTTAATCGCTCAATAAAATGATGGTCTCTCGATTTATATAAATCTCAACAGTTTGTCCTTCCATCCCTTTACACAGGATGGAAAAAGGGAGGGGTGGCTCTTTCGAGCATCACTTGAGGAATTTGTATGATCGTTAAAATGCTCTGTTTTTCTCTTAGTGATTGTGTGGTAAAACACAGGTTACTTGTGCAACCAGTCATGTGATAGACTATACCAATTGCGACAAAACCAAAACGTACTTAAATTTCCGGAGCTTCAAGCAGCTTGTTTGAAATTGTGAAACTCATCTATTTTCTGATTGGCTGTTGAAACTTCTTCTTATAAATTAATTTACCAAAGTTTGATATTTATCAGTGGTAACTCGTGAGTGGTGTGCAATTGTGCGAGGTGGTTAGGAAGGTCTTCAGAGTATATCTGTATTAATGCCAACTGAGGAATTACAACGTTATAACCTGTGTCAAAAATTTTCCAGCATTTCTGAAATTTGTCATGATCGGGGAGAACTGGAATCTAGTCGCCAGACTCCTTCAAGTGTTACCCAGTTTCACTTTAGCGTTCTGACATGGCAAGTTCGGGAAACTACAGCGATCAGGAAAAGGCTCTAGAGTACGTTAAATCACTCATCAGACCTTTCCCAGACTTTCCTATACCTGGAATCATTTTTAGGTAAGTTTGTTCCTAAATTAAGATATGCAAATTTGCTGGGAGAAGATCACTCATGCGGCAAACAGCACATGTCTAACCCATTTGGTGATTGAAGAGTGGTACTGTTCTTTTAAATGTTGTGACGGACATTTCCACGTTTTGTTTCGTTGGTGTAGTATACCTCATGAGCCGAATTCTTTGCAGAATACGATGATTTAGCTACACAAACTTTAAATTGTCAGTCTCGAAACAAAATTTTAAACTTACTCTCGATTGTGTCCGACCCGTTCAAGACGGGCTTAAATTTGTTTAGTTAATGGCAGTAATATATACCACACATTTGACGTCATGCGATCTCCTCGTGTGACGTGTAGATGGGGTTTTCCGCGCAGGAAAAAAAATCACGGAAACATTTCCGAATAACATCATACTATTCCCAAACAAAGCCGTAATCTCAAAGGTAGTCTATTGTTTTCATTGTCGTTTTTGTTATCCAATAATAGTGAGCATAATGAAGAATGGAACTGAGCGGGAACCAAACGAAAATCACATTTAATCTAATCCTGAATGTTTTTTTTCCCTTCAGGGACATCTGCCCTGTTTTATACGATTGCAATGCATTAAGGACAGTTACTGACATCTTGACTGAGCACATAAAGGCAAACTTTGCAGGCGTTGATGCTATTGTGGGTTCGTGCAAAATCTTCTTATGTTAGAACTTAGTGGAAGTTTTTCCAGTGCTCTAATTGCACAGTGTCAGGTATCAGGGGATGCATCACTTACAATATGGAAAGTTCAGACAAAAGACAATGGGTATTATGACGGTCAAGTGTCTTTCTGGCACACACTGAGAAAAGTAGCCTGTTAAGAGGACATTAGTATCTGGGATATTCTGATATAAATCTCAGAGAATGATACAATGTTATTTATGTGTGATTTTATTTGTAATTTTGGTAATTTTGGCAATTTTAATTGTTTTGTTGGGAGGCCAATCTGAAACTCATCAAGCCTCATGGTCCCTCAGCAAAGCAAGTAAACATGGAATAAAAAATTTGTTATTTCATTTTTTTTTTGCAATGATCTAAATTGTCTTTATAAAGTTCTGTTGTAATGCTCTTAATTCTGGTTTATAAGGAGATAAGAACAAAAGGGAACTTCCAAGCCAATACTTTTAGATTTTGTTATGCTCTTATAAACTTATCAGAGATATTTTCTGTTTATCTTTTTATGATTTTTGCGGCATATTTTGCAGGTCTTGATGCCAGAGGGTTTTTATTTGGGCCTATTTTGTCTCTGAATCTAAATTTGCCTTTTGTCCCAGTCCGTAAATCTGGGAAATTGCCTGGGCCAACAGTGAAGGTTTCTTCGACAAAAGAATATGGCAAAGTGAAATTGAGTCAAAGGTTTTTTTAACCTAAAAAACTGGAGGACTTTTAATGTTGTAACATTGAAAAACAAAGGGAATTGAAAAGTATTGACAATTTCATCATAAGAATTTTTATAAGAGTTTTCTTGCTGGGAACCAAAAAAACTCACAAAGGCCTTAACACAGATGTGTGTAGCAGAAGTCTGGAAAGCTAACCACCACACCACACTTCTTACACTTGTCGTAAAGTGATTATCACTTTCCTATGATTGAGAAATTGTCATCCAACCAAATTCATGCTAATATGAATATTTATTTAATAATCAGTTTTCATTTTTAGGATGTTCTTGAGATGCAAGTTGATGGCATCCAGAAAGGCCAAAAAGTTGTCATAGTTGATGACCTGCTTGCCACAGGGGGTAAGGAATGAATATTTCATAAAGAGTACATTTGGAGTAAGTGTTGTATCACCAACACAAAGTAATCCGATAAAACCCTTAGGTGTGGGCAAACAAAAGTAACTATGTGGTGATAGTTCTAAGTTTTAATTTTGATTTTTTTGAGACTGGTAGATGAGTTTTTTCAGACCAACAGAATCATAGAGTTAACCCTTTAACTTCCATGAGTGACCAAGAGAGAATTTCTCTTGACATTGTCAGTGCAATATCAAGCACACAAGTGATGAGAATAACAAAAAATAGATATAAGGGCATTTTAGTTGATCCAATACCAAATTCTCCAAGCTAACATTGTATAAATTTTTATGGCAGATAGTAAGGAGAATTAATGGTGAGATCTCGGGAGTGAAAGGGTTAAGCATAGATTTCATTTGAGTGAAGAACCTTAACCAAAGTAAAACCACAACAGCCAATCAGAATGAAGGAAAATAGCACAAGGAGCCAATCAGAACTGAATTTGAAACAAGAAAACTGACCAAGTTGCAAATTAGTTTTAATTTTAAACTTGATGGTTTGAGAAAGTGGTGCAAGCCTTCTGGACCAATTACTGAGAAAAGTAAAGAAAAGCCAAAAGCAATCATATTTGGTATTACTTTTGAATTGCTCTTGTAACTAAACAAGACAGTAAACAAATTGATATAAGAATTTTAAACATTGTTACAGGCACTCTACAAGCAGCTTGTCAACTGGTGAAAGATGCTGGTGGGGAAGTGTTAGAGTGTGTCTTGATCGTTGAACTGGAGGAACTGGATGGAAAAAGCAAGGTCCCTGCTCCTTGCTACTGTTTGTTGAAGTTCTAGAAAGCAATTATTGTGGAGAACAAGAGGTCATATTGATTGTTTTTGTTCAAACTAGAGATCAGGATACCGTTTTTAGAAAACGAATGATTGATATAACAGGTATTCCCCAGTAATCACAGTGCACTTTTTTCCTATGGTTTGGTATGTTTGGTAATCATGTCGAAGAAAGGAAGTGAAAGGAAATGAGTAGTGAATAGAAAGGTTATTAGAGATGGGGAATTGGATTTATTTCTAAGTATTTCAACAACGTTTTGTAACAAACCGTCTAAACGATAGGAAGAGGGACGGTACATCGTTAAGGCAATAAAAGGGAAGGACACACTTAACCTCCTCTGTGGACTTTTCAAATGAAAGAAAGGTTTCTCGTATCTGCCACAAAGAATAACTTACTCTTCACATCAATTCCTGGATCTATTTTGTTTTTGTAAACTTTGTCCTGTTTACTAGGGATAAAATTCTAACGAACGAGACTCAATTAAACTGTTTTATTCTGCTCTCGTATTCGCTTATTTACATCGGGTGTGTAAAAAGCTACTCTGCAAAATTTGTAAGAAATCACTCTCTTATACGATATTTTCTACATTGTGATTGGTTGTTGCTGAGTACTGATTTAAAAGGTCATTCAAGGTTGCGTTGATTATGTAAACCAATCAATGTCCATAATGTTCACACTCATCATCTGACATGTGTCACGCACGAATCACAGTCTCCGACATTGTCTTGTCGCAGCGCAATTTTCCTTTTTTTGGAAGGATTCAAGTCTGCACACAAATTTCGCGACGCAAACACTTTCGTTCACTTCCACGGTAATTTAAAAAAAAATGTAAAAGGTATTTTTTGGTCGTTAATTACTAATGATCGATATTTCCTTTGTTGTCACGTACCATTTTGTCCACTCTTTGTACATGATTGGGCAAGTCTTAACTTGTGATAAATGGTTGAACCCCAGGGGTAACATTTGATCGCATTGTCTGATTGTCTGGTGAGGGTGGTCCTGAGAAAGACTGTTGTCGGTAGTGATGACGTTAAAACTGAAAGCCAACAAAATGATGACTTCGTTGACAGAAAATGCAGTTGTTCTAGCTTGTATAGCTAAGGGTTTTGACTTTCATGGGATTTGCTCCTTGGATGAGCAACTTTAAGATAGAGAATTGCGCTTTAACAATCTTTGCAAGTCGCCCGAAAACTGCCTTGCTCTTCTTTGACACTTTATGTAAACGGTTTGGCCAAATTTCTACTTAAAGCGAACGATTCCACCAGTGACACACGGGCTATTAACGTTGTTACTTTTTTTCTTGACAGTAGAGGAGAACCGCTTTCCTTTCGAAGACTGCGTATGCACACTAACTATTTCAGTCGGTTGTCTCTGCCCCAAGTCCCTCGCTTAACTGAAATAGGTGAATTTCGGATTGCAGCTACCGCCAGTCAGTTTTACTGTTGGGTCGATTTTCGATGATCTCTCGAGAAGCGCCTTCGTTCCTTGTGGAAAATTGGTTGCAACTATTTTTTTTCTTTTGCGCACTTAATTTTTGTAACTGTCCGTCAGCTTCGCTTTTATTTTGTAATTAACTCCTCAGATTAATTTGCTCCTCTGTAATAATTAATTTCGGTCTGGAGCTTAATGTGATTTTAAAGAAGCGCTGCGGCTGCTTGAAACACAACTTGTTTGAACTTTTAATCAAATCGCAGAGAATTAAAAATCTGTAATAATGCTCTGTGCCAGAACAAAAGCCGAATGAAGCAATAAAATTCAAATTAGAGGTGGCTTTCAAAACTAGAGCCGACTCCATTTGACAGCTTCAAGATAATTTCTCAACACTTATCACTTTCTTGCCCGTTTTCTGAAATTAAAGCATTCTTTGATGCTTGTGGGATCCTACGTTGTAGTGAAACTAAAACATGGTGCTGATGAAGTGTTTTGCCATCAGGTGAGGAGTCTTAAAAAAAGGATGTGAGTTCATATGGGCGACAAACTTGGCATTTGCTGTCATTTATATTTGTTCACTTAACAAACAACTCTTTTGATTTTTGTTTAAGGCTTTGTCAATCAATCAAAAGCGAACATTTACGCGCACAAAAGAGCAATGTGTTAATATATTCGAGAAAATCAGGGACAGTGTAAACTTGTGCATGGCTTTATTTCCGATAGCTACATTCTTCGGGTATTAATCACCTGATGTTGCTCGCGAACCAAGAAAAACTCCTTTGAATGTTCGCGCTTGTTCATTCTGAGTTGCACCAACGACTTGTCCTTTTTCCCATCGCAGTGGATAAGATCGAACAGCTAGCTCGTTAATTTCCTGCGGCCAAACGAAACATGAAGTTCGAAGACGTTTACGAAATCAAGGAGCTCATCGGGAAAGGGTCGTTTGCTGAAGTGAAGAAATGCGTCAATCGTAAGACACTACAGCTGTACGCGGTGAAGGAAATTCATTATGAAGATGCAGAACACAGAGAGAAAGTAGAAAATGAGTCGGAGGTAAGAGTGTTTTAGGCTGTTCATGTATACTTCGCTTAGTAGACATTTATAGGTATCGACTTAAGAAAGGCATCAGTGTGATGCAATCACAGATAGTGGTTGATCGCGTAATAAACATAATATTTCTTAGCTAAAACTCAAAACTTAGGTGGAATGCAGCAAAACTCTTAGCAATTCGTGCGCCCTCTTCGTTTCTATTGTTTATTTTAGCGTTAAAATACCGTGAGAAAAACTCAGTTGTATTTTGAGGTCTCTTACAGTTAACTGACACTGCTTTGTTGAGATTCCGTCCAATTCCTAGCCGTTAGCTCAATTGAATAACTATGTACACTTGATTGATGTGTCTAAAAAACTTCACCATTTTTTTGCCTGTCAGCTAACGCATCATTAAATGTTTCTTGTGACAACAGCTTTTGCTTTCTACACCAACATTTTTTAAACCAACAGGCATCAGGTTGCTTTTCTCAGAGTGATGCTAAAAAATATATCAACTTGAAATACCATGAAACGAACGGAATATGACATTATTGAGACATCAAAAGTAGTCGCTTTTCATGGTAAAATGTAAACTGAAAATGCAGCTGTTTCTCCATATTTTAAATTTTCTCTTATTTTTAATCGAATTGATTTGGTTCTCTCTCATCAGTTGGCTCTCGTTGTGACTTACATTTTTTGGTGAGGCTGTTTAGATTTTGCTGTAAAGATTGCCAATTATTTTCTTAAGTTTATTACAAATAGGATTAAAACATTTGAAAAGCTTAAGTGCGAAAAATTTAGGTGAATTGCTCGGGAAAACGGGGTGTATTATAGATCGATTATTCAGAACCCAGGGAAAAAAGATGAAGATAGTTGATGTCAAAATACTAAAAAAATTGGCTAGAGTTTTTCATCGCCTTCGAAATAAGCCGATTTAAAAATCATTTGGATGTATACAAACATATTATACTCCTCGCATTCAGAAATTTTCACTCCAAAAAATATTTACTCCAAGAAAATTTATCTTAAAAAGTTAACTGAATCGCGTGCGTTGCAGATCATATTCTTAATCGACGCAACCGCTGGACTCTCATGATACAATATTATTCGCAAAACGAGTGAAAGCAATCTTCATGTAATTTTAACCCAATTAGCACTAAACTATCAGTTATGGCACTGATAATTGTGGGTTTAATTTCTCCTGTACTTTTAACGTTACAATTTTAATTATTTCTATTGTTCTTACTTCATCACGTTGTACAGAAACATTTATTGCTCGCCGCACATATCTGTTTTCAAAGTGTTCATACGTCCATGACGGATACCTCCCTTGTGCAATTGCATTCGGCGGTCTCTTTGTTGCGGCAGGCAGACGCCGCGTCAGGTGTGCCGCATTGAAAGACTGGACGATCATATTCTTTCTCGAGCTTATCCTATTTAACTACTGTGGCTTTTTCCTCTTCCTGTTAGTTTGTAGGGCCTAGCGAAATAGCGGGGCGATCAAAAGAAAGATCGTAGATCTTTTACCACAGGATCTATCAGATCAATAGTAAAAACATTCGTGGACTCGTCTGGCAAGCTTCCGCTACTAAATGGCTGACTCGTATCCATAACCTTTTATTTTTAAACGTATCTGACGACAGATCTTAGAAGAGCTAAATCATGTGAGCATAGTTCGTCTGGAAGAAGTGTTCTACGCTGATGGAAAAGTGCTCATGGTGCTGGAATACTTACCTGGAGGGGACCTTTTCGATGGACTGGTATCTAGACCCTTTTACAGCGAGAAGGACGCATGCGCTTGTGCCCAACAGATCATCAGAGCACTACACTATTTGTCAAGGAAAGGGATTATTCATCGGGTGAGGATTATTATGATCTTGATTCTTTATACCTTAAGATGAATCCTTAAAAGTTAAATATCCAACCTCTTTACACTAGATTCCATAAAAAGAAACAAAGAAGCTTAATTCATGTGTGCGATATCTCTCATGCAAAAATACTGTACAGTATCAGTGGATTGCAGAGAAGGACTTAGGAAAAAAATATTACGATCTGCGTAAAGCGCTGAAAAGACGACATTCACGGTTTGTTCCAAGTGCAATTGGCCAATGAGGTCACAGAAATTGTTAGCTGCTCAAAGGTTCTTTAAAACTATCCAGTTTGAGGATTAAAAGTTTAATATACGACCCGACCCCACCCTAAACTCTCTGTTTTCTTTTTTTAACTCCTCCGCTACAAAAACGCACTTCACCATCGCGGTTTTTTTTACTAACCGAAGGCCTGGAACTTGCTTCAAGGCCTCGAGCTCTTAGTCGAATTGTTTCCCTCTTATTTTGTAGGATTTGAAACCAGAGAATCTCTTGTTGGCCGAGAAACCAGAAGTGGACCGTCCACCGATTATCAAACTCACAGACTTTGGAATTGCAAAAAGGATACAAGGTGAATTAAATATTGCTTTCATGAAATAATAAATAAAAAACTGTATTCTGTTATTGAAAACCGCAGTAAAACAAAACAGACCGCAATGAGAACAAAGAGCCAATCATAGATCAAAATACATAGATGCATATGGCCTAAAGCGCGGGAAATCGGGTGTGACCAAGTCAAGGTTGGTTTGATTTTTCTTCTGATTGGTTAATGGAATGCTTTCCTAGACCAATCACCGACGGTTCTGAGGTAAAACCAATGCAATCCCAGATTTCTTTGGACACTCAGTTGAAAATAACTGCAAACTGTTTTTCAAATTTCTCTTTAGACGGAAGACAAATGGTTGATTGCCACGGTAGCGGCTCACCAATGTACCTTGCACCAGAGACTATAATGGAGAGGCCAGTAAATGGTGCTGTAGACATTTGGGCCTGTGGTGTCATCCTTTATTTACTACTTGTAAGTATCACGACCTGCAGAAATCACATAGTGGTCGAGAATTGACGCATTTTATTATAACAAACTAAGTTTTCAAGGTTCCTGAATATTGGCCTTGCTCTTCATCCACGTTTTCATGAACCAAGACTTGTTAGCTGTAAAAACACAGGGAAAAACGAAATAGGCCTTCATGCAGCCTGGATAAAGGACAGTAAAGGATTTTTGACATACTTTCACAAAATTTCCTTTTGTCACGTTTTTAGGTTGGGTATCCCCCATTCTGGAATCAGAGAGTCGAGTTTCTCCTTCTTAGCATTTTACAAGGGAACTACTCGTTTCCTTCTCCATACTGGGACTCAGTCTCCGACTCGGCCAAGGATCTCATAAGCAAAATGGTAAGACGGCTTCTGAAAAGCAAATCTGCTCATGCCAAGCACAGTGCATGTTTATTGATGTGCGGCTGTTCAAGACCTGGTCGTTCCGGCATTAAACAGTCCGTTTACGATGTACATGTAAACCTTCGAGATTTAAGCGCGATATTCTGCCTCTTTGTAAAAACTTCAGATCCAGATAACTGCGAATTTTTAGTATAGGGCCTTGCCTTGAACCTTGTATAGTGGAGCTCACCAGCAGGTTCTCATCGTACAAATTAAGGCGAAGTATAACAGGCGCGAAGAACTTAAGGCTTGATTACTCAATTTGTCTGTTTTTAACACTATATTCGTTCTAACATCTTGAATCCAGATTTGTCATTAAAATCAACTTGCCATCTTTCAGTTAACAGTGAATCCTGAGGACAGAATAACAGCTTCTCAAGCTCTTCGTCACGACTGGATTTCTCAAGGCGATTTCGTCCCTTCTCTTCATAAGGAAACGACATTCGTCCGACTCACAGCCTTTAATGCAAGAAGAAAACTCAAGGGAGTGGTGCTGGGGCTTATTGCCAGGAATAGGTAAGTCAGCAATGGACCTTTTGTCGTCTGCATGCCAAATCTCCTCATAAGCTAGGTGCTTAGATCCACAATTTTGAGAATAGGGAACCAGTCTGAGGACGGGGGGGTAGGGAAGGAGGATTTTTAGAGGGATCATATGATTTTCAGGGGTGTGACTCATGAGTTTAGTTGATTCAATACCAAATTCTCCGAAATGACAACATGAGAATTGTATGGCAGACAGTAAGGAGAATTACTGATGAGATCTTGGGGGTGGAAGTGTTGAAGTTTTTTTGCAATATTGTTCTCTACTGCAGGTTAACTTTCACACCTAACCAAAACGTAGTTCGTTTGACGCGGAAGGTTTCATATACACCTGACCCAGAATTGGAACAAGAGGTGCAAGAAATGCTGTCAAATAAAGAACACGAAGAAGAAAGAAGACTTGAAAAAATTAACGAAACTGTCAATGGAGGCGACAATGATGTAGCTAAATCGCCAAAGGAATACCTTCTAACAGACTTGAAACCTAGAAGATCGCGAATGTTCAGAAGCTCTGTGTACATTAAAGTAAAAGCTGGAGAAGGAAGAGCAAGAGACAGAGTAGGGCGAAGAGTGTCTGATGACGATTCTTAGGGACGGTTTATTTGTTCGGACATAAAGAAACAGTTGAAGTATTTTTGTAATTGTAAACCTCTCAGGTCGATGTTTCGCCGAAGAACGTTTCTTAGACAAGAAAAGTGTCGACTATTAACTAAGAGGCCGTAGCTAACTACGTCGTCATAGACATTGTGATACAAACATATCTTTCCAATTTTTTAACTTAGTTAAAAGGTTTATTTTATTAATTGTTATTAAGAAAACTCGTTGAAACCGTATCATTTTGCTAGGGAAGGATTTTCATAAACTATACACAAATTAGTAAAAAGAGCTTGATTTCCGTGAAAAATATGCAGGCGATATGTGCGTGCATGGTTAGTGCAGAGAAAGATAGATTTAGGAACGCCCTATTTGACTTTAAATGAGATGGGGTTTGAACTATTTGTTTTGTAAATTTTCAACCCTTTCAATTTTCTACACTTAGTAATGGCATGTACTCGTTTCTCTCTTTCTCTCTTTACCCTGCCTTACCTTTCTCCTCTTCCTTCTCAGAACTTTCTATCGGTTTTAATGGAAAAACACTAGAATCATTTGTAAATCACAGGGGTTTACCAGAGTAAAACGATGGGTTTTTTACCAATCAGGGCACTCGTAGAATCTCATTTTTTTTTTACATCATACTCATATATACCCTTATACATGCCCTCAGAAACTTTCACATACTCATCTAGATGAACTTGTAAATACATGAATTTATTTGGCCCACTGGAATAGTTAGTAGGGTGGTAAGAAATAGGAGGAAATGGCCTGTATGAGTGGCGGAGAATCTCACTTGTGGCAAATCTAGTCGTAATGGAACAATCATGAGAGCTATACAACTCTCAGAATTGTTTAGTTTTCATAAAACAAAATTGGGCTATTACGTTGCATTGTTGTGTCTTCCGCACGTTTCGGGCCGGCTTTTCATCAGTATTGTGTCAAGTTGATTACACTTACTGCGTAGTTAATATGCCGCATAGGTAAAAAAGTGAAATTCAAAAATATTCCGCGCATCAAAATTCAAGTTTCGCGGATGATGACTGCAAAAAATGGATTTCATTTTTAACCTGTGAGAATGAGAACTGGCTCTGTAACTTCTAACGACGGCAAATATTAATTGTTCAGCAAAAGCTTATGAAAAAACTTGCCGTCGTGGAAACAAGATACACAATGACGCCATAAGACGTCACCAAATGATGTAAACCACGCGTGACACTCGTGCAACCTCGTTCCTTGAATCCTCTCTCTTCCTCCCTCGAGGAAGGGAGAGAGGGGACCATGGGAACGAGGTTAGCACTCGCGCGGATATGCAACAAGCGTAATATAAACTTGAAATTATCACTCAATATGTTCCTCCGATGATTGGAAAGAAACTATTTCAGGCCGCCCTACTTAGCTCGTTTTAATGAAAACCTGAGTAGATTTCTATTTGAAAAATACCATCTGCAGCGTCGGAGCTTCGACAACCAGCTATGTAAGCAGCAACCATCTATCATCTCAATAAAAACGAGCTGTTTATGCTAAGTTTAAAATTTCATTGTACTTAACTGGTGAACCAAATCAAATATTATTTAGTTCTTCATTATGAGTTGTGGTTTGACATATGGTTTTTGAATGACTATTAAATTAGCTCGCTTTAACAAGTCTGTCGGCGGCGCACGTTCCTCCTTGGACGAACGATCGCAAGAGTTATTTCGATAGAAAGCAGAAACATTGCGAAACACAGTTTGTATTCTGCCTTCCATCGTTAAAAACAATAATCATAAGTTAATCTTCGAGTTTTCAATCTTGAATTAACCCGATAACATCCTTATGCATGGATTTCATTTGAGATGGAGCGACCGAATTGAAAGACTGCAAAAGGAGGCAAGTTATGGAATTCGTCTGCCAGTTTGATGTTAGGGAAATCTTGGGCCAGGGATCTTTTAGTGAAATCAAAAGATGCATCGATAAACGGACGAGACAAGCTTTCGCCGTGAAGGAAATTAGCTGTGACACGCAGGAACAGAGGGAGAGAATTGAACATGAAATCGAGGTGAGCATCAGAAGCGGTGCTTAACCGCGGTGAGTACAGAATCGACGCCTTCCTGGATATACTTGCTTCGTTTATCGTAAGTGTAATCAGAAAGAATGTACGAGAGAGGGCCGCTTACAATGACAAAGGATAGCGAAAAAAAAAAAGAAAAGAATTTCTTCGAAGCTTTGAGTCTACGTAATTGTTCTGGCGGTTATACCTGAAGTGTTAGCCCTTCGCTCTGACGGATGGCTAACGCTCGAAACGTCATCTTTACAATATGTCCACGGTGGCCAATTCTCATTTGATAAAACCAAATTATTTTACAATATCCCCCACCGATGCTACACCACAGTTTCTTATGAAAAAAAAAACCTATATTCCTGAGGTGCCAAATAGACTCAATTCGTTCAATTGTTGTACAAATTTATTTTTCTATGTTTGCATATCGATAAATGGTAAAGCCAGATTTCTTTGGGTTTAGTTATGACGTTTAGTCCTCATTCTTCTACGAACTCGTATGACTTTCGGGTTAGGATCGGACTTGTTCATAAAATACCTTGTATGGACCACAAACTTAAAAAGTTAATGCTTTAAAGCGGTAACTTAACAGAAGTTTTTCACCACGTCTTAGTGTAATTAGGTCTTATTGTAAAGAGCGCAATAATACTCACAAACAACATGCAAGGTCAATTCATATATTTTGGTTTGACGCACGGCACAAAACCGGAAAATAATTAACAGATGAGTGCAAATTTCCGCATACACTATTAAACTACATTTCAAACACTGCTAACTGATTTTATGATTGACAAGTACGTGAGCAATATCGGCAAATTAAACAGCGCAGAAACTTGGCCTTTTGGACTTGAGTGATCACTGCAGTCATTAAGAGTGAGTTGATGTTTATTACGTCTGGCAAACCGGTAATCAAAATATGCTAACAAGATCCGCTTCGTTTATGAAAAATAGTTCTCGGTCACGAAACGTGAGGAGGATCCAATTTGTGCGTAGAGCTTTGTACGACTGCTACCTTTTTTTTTAATGATAACGAGTGAAAACCACACCGCACTTAAAATCATGACAAAAACTAGTGCTGTGATGAATTTCAACAATCATATTTTTTTCACCTCTTGATGGCAAAACGCCAATGAGCGAATTGGCCGGATCTACTTGGATTAAAATGGTCTGTATTGGGCGGCTTTGTCAGTAATAACCACTATAAATTTAAGACCTCAGTAAATATAGAAATGTCGCTGATGACTCTTCTATCGGATACTGATGTCTTTGTACCGCTCAGAATCAGGAGTGGACGACATTTTTTTAATTAATAAAGGCTGCCGTCCCTGAAAAAAAGGTTGTATTATCAAGAGACACATGTAAGATAGATGCAGAATTTGGAGATGGAATGAGAAAAAGGAGTAAATGAGCCCCTCCTTCCTCTCTTACCTCTGACTTGTTTGTTTTTTAATTGAGTTAAAAAGCCAACAGACAAGAACAAAAGATGAACAACTGCATTGGCTTCTCTGAACTTGTTCTTAAAGCTCGTTGCTGTTTCCAATACGGCCTTACACATGCCTTTTTACATATTTGGCGCTGTGGTAGTGCGCAGTTCCTTCTCTCTTCAGTTTAACGTGTTCATTATACACTTAATGTATAGTCCCGAGGGAAACAGCTAGTTTTGTTTTCCAAAACTTCGTCCCGGGAAACATCAGGACTCGAAGGAAAACAAAACTAACTGGTCTCCCTCGGGACTATACATTAATTGCTTCGCTATATATTTAGACTTTACCTTAAACAATAATGTGCTGTTGTATTCGGCGCGCGGCCAACAACTGCGCGATTGTATCCCGGTCGAGATACATTTGAATTTGATCAGGGGCACGTGACCAAGAATCAACCACTCACAGTGCTCGTTTTGTTGAGTGAAAGTCTAGGTATATAACAACAGCTCTTGTCTATAGATTTTATAGATTCTAGCCTCCTAGATTTTAAACCGATAAAGTTTTCAAGTTTTGTTCCTTTTTACTTAAAATCGAATTCTTTCGCAGATTCTCCATGAACTTAATCATCACAACATTCTTAAGCTTCATCACTGCTATCCTGCTTTTGACAAATACTACTTGGTCTTAGAACTGGCGTTTGGAGGAGAGCTTTTCGAGGACCTGGTATCCAGAAATGCCTTCTCAGAGAGCACGGCACGTGAGGCAATGCTACAGCTGTTTACTGCTGTGGAATACATCCACGGGCTCAGAATTGTACATAGGGTATGCCATTCAGTTTTCCGCCATCAACTCTTTTTTTTTTTTTTTTTTTTAATTTTTTGTAAATGTTCTAAGTTGTGTGTATAGGGATGAAACCTTCTAAACAAGAACTTTCCTTGCAGAATATCAGACCTGAAAAACTTATTCTTACCTGGAGGTCAGCGGAAAACAACAATCATTTCCCTCCACTGAAGCTCAGCGGATTTGGTTTGGCCAAAAAACTACCAGGTGTGAGAAACAAAACCTGAAAGAGTGGATTAATCGCGATCGACTTGTATAGCTTACTACCAAGAGAATTTAATCTCCTGTTACCACATAAGTAAATTAAAGTGAAGAACAACTCTTGTCATAGTTTGACAGAATGGCCTCGTGAAATTCTGTCTTGAGCATAATTTTTTTGATTGTACGCCAAAGCTCGGGGTCATTGTGTTTTCCACTTTTAACGAAAAAAGGCAAAGTATAGGGTGACGTTTTCTCACGAGTTGAGTAGAGATTTTGTCCATATTTTTAGAACGCATGAATCGATTATTCTCCTCTTGGACGAGGCGTCAATAAATCACTGATTATAAGAGAGGAGAAGCATTAAGCGTGTAAAGTGTCTCAAGTAAGATCAAAACACGATGAGCCGAGCAGGGCTCGAGCTAGAATCTCCCAATCCAGAGTTTTACGCGTTTACCATCCAACTCCCTTATTTCCTTTAAGAGACTTGATCAACGTAGTATTTGGATGTCTGAGTCCTTGACACAAGCTGGTACAGAATTTGAATTTGGTCCAAAATTTGGTACACTTCCTCAGGTCCAGTAGGCGTGTTCATTTTAATTTAGTCACTCGTGACTCTTTCTGCGCATCTGCACTCTCGTAGATATTAAGCCTCGCATATTCAAAGCTAAACTTGATCTTCATTACATGACGTCCAAATAGTAACGTGGTGCTTTACTTTACTCAGTGTAGTATTGATTTTTTTTGTTATTATTTTTTGCCTTCCAGAACATTCCGACATCATTTCTTGTCCAATAGAGGGATCTCCATTATATCTTGCCCCCGAAACAGTGAATAGACAACCAATTGGTCGGGAAGTAGACATTTGGGGTTGCGCTGTGATATTTTATACAATGCTGGTTAGTATTCGAACCTTAATCAGTACTTGAACAAAATTCTTGAACGTGATTGGTTATCACCAGCCCGATTTAAGCACTTCTAGGACAGTATACGTGTCATGCTTGTAATTAGATAGTGCAGCAGGATAGTTGACACGTCATGTCTGTGTAAGTGGGCAGTGTGTGCGTCATGCTTACTCGTTGGCCATTTCGCCGAGTTAGCTGTCTTTGTTTATGATAACGTATGGCTGATGTCTTATATCTTTCTTAAATTTCGCCAAAGTTTTGATTTATTGGTGGCAGGACTTTATCTCGTCTAATTCTGTCCTTAATAATACTCGCAATTAACAAATCGGACTCCCGCTTCGCTGTCGCCCGATTTTGTTCATCATTCGTATGATTACAAACCAAATTGAACTCCATTTGCAGTCCTATTACCATTATAAATCGAGACGAGTGTGGATGTGTAAGATTTCTTCTTATTTAGCTCTTTTTCTTTCAAATCTCGGTCATGAAAAGTTGGGCTTGTTCGTTGGACTAGAAGAAATCGTCTTTCATTTTAGACTGACTACTACAAAATTGGAGGAAATGTTTATAAATAAAATATATGTAGTTTGTGGATAACACTTGCATGATTTGTAGCATTTCCTACTCCACGTATAGGCATACATTAAATCAGTAAAGATACCTTTGATGGTTTGTCAACTGATTAATGTAACTCCGTTGCCGTTGTCTTCAATATCTGGTTGATACTGCCTTGAACATCTCTTAACTTATTTTAATACCAAAATGTTTCTTTGAAGGCTGGTTACCCTCCTTTCTGGAGCACAAATCGAGGTGAACTCTTCGGAGTTATTGCGCTTGGAAAATATAATTTTCCAGATCAAGAGTGGAAATCTATATCTGATGGTGCTAAGCGGCTGCTAAAAGGCATGGTAAGAGATCTTGATCGAATTTTGATTCCAAGCTTTGCGGTAATATGTGATGATTACTATTGCAATTTTTTTCGACGGCTTGCCAAACGGTTATTCATGTAATAATTACTAATGCCGGGCGATGGAATCTTAACTTCGACCTCTTGACACACGCTCTTACTTCTTTCTTAACAGCTCATGGTCGATCGAAATGAACGAGTGACAGCGACAGAACTTGTGAAAGATCCGTGGACCCAAAATAGAAAGTTATCTACGGCTCATCGGAAGGGGACTCTGGATCATCTAAGTGCTTTTAACGCCAAAAGGAAGCTCAGGGGGGCTGTGTACACGATCTTTGCCATGAAGAGAATGATGGAAAACCCAGAACCTTTGCCTCTGACAAATGGTGTCAAATCATAGAATAAGATTATTTAGATATAAGCACAGTATTTTAAACTCAAAATATTTTCTCGTTGCAAATGGAAATGGACTTCATGAGTGATGTTAGTGCCTGGTTAGTTTGAAGATCTAGACTCCTAACAGTATTCAGTATTTTGTTAGTTCTTGCGTCATTCTTACGATGTGCATTAATTTTGGCAATACATGGAAATTGCCACTTGAAGTAAGGTTCAATTTTGCCTCCCCTGATACCATTTAATTTAATGACTATGTAAACACCAAATAGCCCAGTTTTAAGTTTATAAAGTTTGAAAAAGAGAAATCTTATGTCTCCTCTCGCAGTGGGATGTGGAGAGGATTTTAGGGATGTTGAGGTGAAGGGCTAGTCTCGTCCCAGACCTTTCACGGTCAAGTGGTAGTTACACGGTAGGATCTGGGTACGAGATTGGAGAGGGCTGTTCACTGGCATTTTTTAATTTGGTTTTAAACGAGTTCTAAATTTTCGACTGTACCCGTTCTTTTCTTCGAGTTGTCGTTTTATTTTATTTCATACAACTAGTATTTAAAGCTAAACAAATGGGAAATAGAAACGCTTTTCAGAAAATTTGATTGGAAATATTCGGTCTCTTTTTATCTAGTAGATGAGCAGAATTTTTTCGTTTACAAATGAAAGAGAAGATTGTAGATTCTTGATAGAAGTGAAAACTTGCCGAATTGAAAAAGCTTTGTGGTATACAGTAAAGTTATTACTTAGAGGAGAGACGGAAATAAAAACAATTTAACAGTCTCGGCGTTTTACGTTTTGATCTGCGAGGACGGTTTAAATAGAAGAGTTGTTGAGTGTGTTAACCGAGAGTTTTATTGACTCTAAGTATGAGGAATTTGGTAAACATGACTCAAGTTGACAGATTCAATAAAAAAGTGTTTAATTTTCAGTCAAATAACCAGACTGTTAAAATAAGAGAATATCTGGATTAGTTATGAGGCTTTTGGTGTCCAGTCCTAGGGAAAGTTGCATTTTAAACAGTTAGTGGAGATTTCCAGTTCGATTATATTGCTTTGGGACGACCGAGCGCAAATCTAATTGTTCGCAACAATCGTACCCGAAGGAACTGAGAACTAGTTTACGGCAAAGGCATATGGGTAATTAATCAATCAACATGGCGGTTGAGTTTATGTAGAACAATTTCCTTGGTTGCATTAGTTTGTTTCTATTTGTGAGCTCATTCTCAGACTTAATTGCCTAATTTGGAGTTAATTGCTGATTGCGACAAGAACGGTCTGCAACTCTAAACGTAGTATAATGATAGAACGAGCAATCTAATCATTAAGATACCAGAGTTCGATATTGTTGACATTGTTGGCACATGGATTATAATTTCAAGACTTCGTAAAATATCTTAATGCATGAAAATGTGAAGTTTTTGGTGATTGCTGAACTAGCGTAATTTTAAAGTGGATTAGTTCTTTACTGCAAGACTTGACAAACATGTCAGCTATTTCGTCGATTACTGGAATCATTAAGAGACTTCCACGACCACCAGTCGTTCAACGTTCGAATTCGACGTATTTTTCAGAAGTCAAGAAGTCATTCTCTGGACATTTCAGTAGCATCAAAGTCGAAAGAAAAGCGAATGATTTTTGGAGTCGAAGAGGACCAACTGTTCTTTCATATCGTGGGCTTGCTAATCATGGAGGTTTAGCTTTATGGCAGTCTTCTTCGTGCATCAGACCTCAAGCCCACGCGAACTTCTTGAAAATGAGTACTCGTAACAGTTACAAAGAACCGTGGATGATGTCTGATGAGGAAGTTAGGGATATCATAACAGAAAATGAATGTGCAGGTAAACTTCAGCTGGGAATTGTAAGCAAATTCGAATCAAACTTGTTGCCATCTAATAATCCAACAGAGGATCGAAGGTTTGTGACCAAATTACTGCAAGACAGAGATGCCTTTCTGTTTGGTGTTTTGGATGGCCACGGCGGAAGCAGCTGTGCTCATAATGTTTCTCAACGCCTCTCAGACTACATAGGACTGTCACTGCTTCCGAATGAAATTCTTTTGGGACCAATGTTGAAGAAGTTTCTTTGCTCCGAGCACCTCCTTGTGTCAAACTCCCCAAGTAATTACTATTACAGGGAGGATCCTGTTTGCTATGAAAGCCTTAAAGCTTACTATTTGGAGCTGCGTAGGATACAAAAGAGACATGATGTCAGTGGAACCATGGCTCCTACTTTTGTGCACCTTCAGGAGACTCATGGACACAAGAGAGCAGTTGTAGATGCAAAAGAGGAACAAGTCTCTCAGACAATGGGGGCTATTTCTAGAGCTTTTCTGAGACTAGATGAAGATTTGAGTTATGAAGCATCAATTGAAGGGGAGAACAAAGAAGCAGAAGAACACAGATTTAAAGCAGCTACCTCAGGAGCTTGTGCTTTGGTGGCATATGTGAAGGGAACTGAACTTACTGTAGCCAACTGTGGAGACTGTCGTGCAGTACTTGGTGTACAAAGCGAGGATGGGCAGTGGTCAGCATTACAACTGTCTACTGATCATACAGCCCGTAAGTGTAATTTTGTTTTGTTGACAAGACTGCCATCCAGTCAGCTCATTGACCTTTTTTGTCACTATGAGCTCTGAGATTACTTTAGTGATTGGGAGAGAGCCAGTCTGTGATGCAGAGTATCCATTGTAATGCTTTATAATTTCATTATGGATCTCTGAGTGTGTTTTCTTTTTTTAGTCATTACCCATCTTTGATGTGTGAAGGCCTGTTACAATTGATTTGTATGGGTTAAACATTTCTTCTGTAGTTGTCTCTGAGAATTTGGTTTGAAATCAAACTGTGTCCCCCAGATAACATTTGCACCTTATAATCTACATGTATCTACTTGTTACTTCTAGGTCATTCATGCAGTGAAAGGGTTAAAGCCTTCTTTGCCTGAATGAATCACATTAGTACTCTATCAATAACTGTCTGGGTGATTAATATAGGACTTAACTTTTCTTAATGCTAAATAATGAAAAAGTTTATTTGAGAGTATATAGGGTTGTCGTCTCTAACCCACTCGTTCTATCAGCTGGTCATAGAAACAGATGGTTTTTAGCCTTCTGTGCCAACAGCTCCCCAAAAGCAAACTACAATCTTGATTTTAAAGTGTTTTGTTGTACATTTTGTTTAACCCCTTAACCTCAGAGAGTAATTAGCTTCTAACTTCTCACTAAGGTGTCACTGGTGAATCAAACTTAGGCTCATTAAAACTGAAGGTTAGAATGATTACAATTTTATAAAGCTGGTGATTTTCAGCTTAGTTTTCCTTATCAGTGCTATAGGAAATGTGTAGAGAACAACATGGGGAATGCACATGCCGATATTAGGTTGTAAAAGCTTAATTCCTAAGCATTAGGTAATTTTAGTCTGTAATTAATGATTTCACATTTGCTCTGTCAGGCAATCCAAGGGAAGTTCAACGAGTACTGAGTGAACACCCACCAGAAGAGGCTTCCACTACTCTCAAATATGAAAGACTTTTAGGCCGCCTTGCTCCATTAAGAGCATTTGGTGATGTGAGATTCAAATGGAGCAAGGAAAAACAAGAGGAAGTGTTTAATCCAAAAGGAGATAAATCATTTGCCGATATGGCAGAATTTCTTACTCCACCCTACCTTACTGCTGAACCAGAAGTGACATCATACCAGCTACAACGCACAGACAAATTTCTTATTCTTGCCACTGATGGTTTATGGGATATGCTTAGCAATGAAGAAGCTGTGGAATTTGTAAAAGAAAATTTGCAAAAACACAATTCAGACCCTGAAATCCAAGACAGGGAATCAATCTTGGATTTGAAAAACTCAGCCTCTTGTTTGATCAAGGAAGCCCTTGGTGGTGAAGATCTCTTTTCTGTCAGTATGAGCTTAAGTCTACCATACCCTGATGTGCGCAGTTACCGAGATGATATCACAGTTACTGTGGTGCATTTTGATTGGAGCAATGTTGCATTAGAGTAGGCACATGCTAAGGGACTAGGAACTGGGCTTCCAACAGGCACAGTAAATGAGCAGATAATAGGTGCTAGGTTGTGTAATTTCAGGCAATTTACCTGTGAGCACTTATCATAAGTTGTGCAAACATCTCTAATTTCACAGTAATGACCTAATTACCTTGAATGTCTAAGATTTGATTGAAAATTTTCCTTTCTAGTGGCTAATTGTTTCAGTGTAAATTAGTAAAGAGAATTTGGTGTCATGTCTGAATAACACCCACCAGATGATCTGTTTGTTTTTCTCATCATCTGCCTGCCGAAATGTGTATTAGGAGATGTCTGGAGAAGATACATCTTGATCACAAACTGGAATGAAAAGGTTTAATAAGGAACTGATCTTGTGTTAAAAAAAGGCAGTTCTGTTGTGGTCATGCAAGTAATTAGAATTATTTCAAATTCTGTGATGCAAATAATTTAATCAGAATGTTTGCTTCACCTCGGAAAGTTGGAAGAAGTTTGTGATGTTTTACAGATGTACTTCAAAATATTGAGAGAAAAATTTGATGTTGCAGGCTTGCTGCTAAATTATAAAGAAATTCTGGATTTATTTTCATGCTTGCTTGGAAAAATCAGAAAATGTTAATGATAACTTGAAACCAAGGAGAGCAGTTTTTTGCTCAAGGCTGTTTAAGAAGTTAAATCACTTATTTGCAGGTAGGGAATGTAATTTTTTGTATATACCTTGTACTCATCAATGATCACCAAGAACAGACAGGCAAACAAAATTTTCGGTGGGTTCCAACAGATGGGACCAACGAAGAAGAGTAAGGAAAAGTTTTAAGTTGTACATGTAACTGTTATCTTTTCATTAATAAAGGAAGTGGAGATGAGAAAGAGAAAGGCAAGAAAGTCATGAAATTTCTTAGACGTGTTTATTTTATCGTAGAAAAGTGTAAGAATTGTAGATTCATGTACCTGCAAGAGCTTCAAACTTGACCTAACAGCGAGTCTGAGTCAATACTACAATTACATCATCTATTTTAGAAATCTTATCGGTCAATACAAAAGAGTTCCCTTTGTGGCAAAAACGTTTTAAAATTCAACATCAATTGTTGAGCAAAGATTCTTAGTTTAATTAATTAGTGTGAGTCAGACTCAATTCTACAATAACATTGTTATTTTACAAATGTTTATCAATACAAAAAGATTCCCTTTGGATTGGGACAAAAACGTCTTGGTAGTCAACATCAACTGCTTATCTAAATGATGACCAGTTTGATTAATGAAAAGGTCAATTAATTTTTATCAATCAGATTAGGTTAGTTTATGTAACCATAGTACTATTACAGGTTTAAAAAGTAACTTTCTGTGGAAACTGCCAAGCTTCTCATTTCGCTGAAATGTGATTTTTACTATAAAGAACGAAAGGAAACTTGCGCGCAGTGTTCTATAGTGTGACAGAGTTGAGATCATTTTTACACATGTGAGGAAAAACTTACAATGTGTTGATGGTAAAGACAGCAAACTATTTGCATTGTTAGTTTATTTACTGTGCCCTATTCTACTACTTCAAGGTACTGGAGAAATCATTTCAAATCTTTAAAAACACAATTTCTCAGCCAGTCAGGTATAGTTGCGAGAACACAACTTTCCCCGTGCTTTCCATCTGTTGATATATTGTGCCTTTTTATGCGAGCTTCTTACTGGTCCCTTGTAAACTTTAGAAGTTGTCATCGAGACTTTGCCAGTAGGCTTTTAGGAAAATACGCTGATTAAAGAATAATGTGCACACTATGTACATTTTAAAAGACATTTTTGTGACGCTCAAATATCAAGCGTCAATTTTTGCTAAATGTTTTATTAAGAAGTGACGTGCGCAAAGATCAAATGTCGCTTGAGTTAACTGTCGCCGCATTAACGTGACTCCACCGAGTGCGTCTTTGCCTCTGCTGGCTTTGAAATCTTTTTTTTTATCCCGTGGCTGTTTGTAACTCACAATTTGTGATTTTTAGTGTTGCCTAGAACAGTCATCTCACCATTGCTCTATTTTCGTCCTAACTACCAATTATCGACAGCTGCTCAAGAAATAAAAATCATGGACTACTTTGGGTCCTTGCCATTAAGTTTTGCATCTTAGCAAGATGTAAGTCACTATCAAAAATTTACTAAAATTATCGTTATTTACAACTTACTTCGCCAAATAAGTGCATTTCGACGTGGGGTAAAATCAATGGTTTAACCTTACTGCATAAAGTGAAAAACTGATCTATCGCCTCTTAAATTAAAATAAGTCAAGCATCCGTTGTAACCAAGCGTCTATTGAGATCATTTAAAAGAGCTCGGTTTTAACATAATCACAACTGTAACTACGCAAAATTGCATGTTAACAACACCGAAGTGTCTACAATTGTGTTTGTTCCATATTTAGGAACTGTTCGTTCACCTCATCGTCTTCTGTTTCGCTTTTCATTTTATCGATCATGTCGAGCAGCATTTCGTCGCTTCTAGTGTCATGTTTTTCGCTTTTCTCGACGAACGTCGTCAACTCGTCAAGGCGCTTGTTCAACGCCGACAGGGTACGAAAGACGTTTTGAGTTACGAGTTCAGTCGGGTGTAGTTCGGGTCCAGTCGGATACTCTTCGTCGTCGTATTCCATTTGGCTTTGCTCGGTGTTCTCCGAGACCGAGCCGTCTTCCTTGTGCTTGTAATCCGAAGGCGAGAACGGGGGAGATGACGGAAAACCCGAAGACGGATTCACGAACGGGCTCTTGCCAGCTCCGATTTTATTTCGATTCAGACCCAGATTCTCTTTAAATTTGGATAGGATGAATTCCACCATTTCGTACTCGTTGTCTTGATCATCATTGGAGGACTTGACCTCCGAAAAGGTGTCGTTTATGATCGCCATGAACATGTTCAGCAGATAGAAGACGCAGAAGTACATGAAAGTGAAGAAGTAGATGGGTCCGAGCAGAGGGTTTACACTCCGCATCTCATCGTAGTCGAAATCACCCAGAACGATGCTCATTTGAGTTTCAAGAACGCTGAAGAAGTTTCTAAATTTGTCGATTTGAAGACCAAACAACAGCCAAGCCATGAGTGCGAAGGCAATGAATACGATCATGAAACTGATGCAGAACATTCCAAGAGGCTTCGCAATTTCTCCGAGGGTTGATCCTAGCAGTGACATTCGCTTGTTGAATCTGAAAAGTTTCAGGAATCGGAGGGTCACAAGGAACACAAGAATACCCATAATTACAGAAAGCGACTCGTCCGCAGCCCCGGCATATTGGAAACTAACAAAATCCTTGGGGTTGTGGCGCAGCTTCATCAGATTCTTGTCCACCTCCCAGAGGCGTGCAAAGTACAGAATTACCATGGCAAACTCGCAAATGATCAGTGTCACCTCCATCCAGTTGAAAAATCCGCGGAAGTACGCCTTGCGTTGCTTGTACATCTTCTTCCCTTCGCGGTACATGAAATAAAGCATGAACAGAATCAGGAAGATTTGACATGCAAGAATGAAGTTGGCGAATGGTCCGACATAACTGTACAACCTCGCCACGGCAAAGTGCGCGTAAGGGAATCCTCCACCTGTCGGCAGGAACTCGACGAACATGAAGGCTATGCCAAATAAGTTGATGTTAGCGTTGTACACCGTGAATTCCACGAACACTGAACGCGTCTGTGGGTCTACCCAGTTATGTGAGTGAAGATCAGCAATTACTGTGAGTGCCGTAGGGTAATCGTATCCCAATTCCGCGGGATATCCACCTCCACTGTACAGGGTTAGTCGTCCCCAGAAGGGATACCCTCTGAGTTCTAACGCGCCATTGTGCAACCAGCGGGAGGGACACGAAACAATTGATCCGTCGGGTAGAATAGCAGAGTTCAAAACGTAGTAATTTTTAGCTGTGCTACCGGGACGCTTCCGTTTTCTCTGCTGACGACCTGAAGTAGACGTATAAACGGGTTCGATTGTACGGCGGCGCCGAACTTTGGGTTGCTCTCCGAAGCCCTTGAGAATTTTATCCCCTTTGCGGAAGGCAAATTGTTCTTGAATGCTTCTTTTGCGGCGAGATTTCACATCGCCGGCACTTTTGTTTAGAAACTTCCAACCAATGTCGTAATCTTCTGTATCTTCATTTATTATTGAGTATTCTGCGAAGCATTTGTCAAAAAAGGACGTGAAGTGTTCGTCAACCTCGCAAGAATCTGTGAAAGGAATAAAGGAAGAAAGACATTAATTTTCAATCACGTCACATAAAAAGGGAATGTTCGTGTGTAGCTGCCCCGTGTAAAGATAATTTCCAGGCGATTCAGCGGGTATTTTTACCAGGGACTTTTACGTCAAGGCAGAAGTCTTACCTTTTTCTACGCGTGCCTGTCTTAACCTGGAGATTCCAACCAAGTAGTTATTTCTGTCATAGATGAACCCAGTGTACTTGTCCGATTTGTTGTTGTACAACAGCCCTGGGTACAAATTTGGTATCAGCGTCTCACGATTCCAATGCCAAAATAGCTCTAGATCACTCGCCTGAAAAGAAAGAGTAAAAAAGCTCTTGTAACACGAGGCTGGCTCGACGGATGGATTTTTGAAGGGAATCTTAGGTTATTTTCCCCTTAAGGAGAAGTGTGCCTCAGTGTCCACATAATTTAAACTCAAACACCGAGAAGCATCATAAAGTTTTTTTAAGATTCTAAAGGGTGAACTGACCTTCCAAAAAATATCTTCAAATGTGCTTACAATTTGACCACAAGCGCCGCTCGGCAACCTAGCTGCTTATTTTGAGTGAAAAGAGGCATTGTGCCGATGAAATGTCTCACTAGCTCAGAACAGCATGTCATTCATCCCGCTCGGTGCTCCCTAAGAATTAAGACCGTAGTATGTAAATACAGAATTATTTTTTAAACATACGTCAGCCAAGTCCACACCGGTTTGGTCCAGGTCCACGAAAGTTTCATGGAGGGTCTTCCTCAGGAGGTACGTATTGGGGTCCTTGTTGCCATAGGCAACCAGCACGAGTAGCATGACGAACAAAAAGTAGGTGACGATTTCTTTTATGATTTCAGACATGCGCACTTCCTTCAGTCGTTGTGCTCGGGCAGCTTTTAAGAAATCCTCGTCCGGGGGCCTGAGGAACAATCGCAATGATAGAAAAAATATTAATTCAAAGATATTATTTCAATGATCGATAATGTCTAATCAAGAATTCTATTATACATCCTATATGTCATTCGGACTGGTACTTTAGAGTCAGTTAATGTCAAGTGCATCTAGTGCAAATTGCCTCTGATAAAGGGAAAGAGTTGTATTTGAACAACAACAACCTCTATACTTTCCGATTCAGCCAGACAGCCCTGAAAGCTATCTTAGTTTCTCTCCTCGTAGCATTGGATGGAATATCAGAGCATTACTGGTCAACTCAACGCAAATATTCGCCTCACACACTCGGAATTAACTCCATTTTATTTTGAACAATGTATCCCTTGTTATTGCATTTCGTACCTGTATCTCTCGTCATCCTCATCGTAGTCAAGTAGAACGTCGTCCCCAGTCTCCTTACCGTCGGGACTTGCTTTAACTTCTTTTTTGTCGTGTCCCTCGTCACCTGAATCTATCGGCTTCCTGATAATCATCGCAAAAAGTAGGGCAACTAACACCACTTTCAAGGGCTGTATTATTAGTATTGACTGGAAGAATGACGTCACAAAAGCTAACAGCCATTTGTTTGCGATTTCTGGTCCCCAGGACAAACTGTAAAAGACCGTGAAAAGTGCTGAGGTGACAGACGACAAGAAGCATAGAACCCAAGCTACATAGACCAGCCAATGTGGAAGACCCTTTTTGGCCTTTTTCTTTTTGTCCTTGTCCTTTTTGCCGCCATCCTCTTTATCAATTATTTTCTCTTGACTAGACGCGTTCTGTAGCGTCTCTATGGAGGAACATCTGCTAATGTCAGCAAAATCTGTTTCTTGCTTTTCCACAGTCTCTATGTTTTTCTTTAGTTTAACTTGTTTCGGGCGCACATTTCTGAAGATTTGAACCAATGCAAAGTTGACAGGGAACACAATGAAGCTCGCTTGTATTCCGATGATAAAGCCTCGGAGGTCAAACTCGAACGATCCTATTTGAATCATGGTCGCCTTTTCACCCTCTCCTCCCATCTGATAAAACATGGCGTTTGTGACCATCGTACAGCAAAGCAGCGAAAGACAACATGATACTCGCTGAACTCGTGTGAACGGGCTCGTTGCAGGGCGTGTCACGACTGAGAACCACAGATGACCATCGCCTAGTTCCCTTACGGTCTTACTCACAAAAAGATGTTGAAAATGAGTCAGCTCTTGTTCGCTTGCAACCGGAAGTACTCGCTCTACTTTCCCGTCATCCTCTTCAACAGCCAACCAACGTTCACAGATGAAATACCAGCGTTCCTCCGTCCGGAGATCTTCCACAGACACGCGACTGAGGTACCAAGACGGATTGGTCCCTTAATGCACAAAATAAGGTTCATAATGTGTAAGTGGGTTTTCAATTCCCATGGTTTCTTTCGAGATTCAACAGACATTCTTGCAAACGAGTAAAATAACGTGGATTAGTTGAACTTATCTTGGTTTCAAAGCATGACGGGACTTATCGCTACCCTCCACCCCTTCATAGACAGGATGCTTGCTCATTGCAGCTTACGTCCCAAAATTTCGTCAAGCTCTCCATAAAATCAGCTGGGACCTCTCTTTAACTGATTTAACCGTTTCCCTTTTCTTGGAAAAAGGCGGGTTCATCGATTTTTTTTTCCACCAAGTCTTTTCTTATTGTCGAACCAGCAACTCATAAATCACCACCACCCTTTTATGATGAATTAGGTGTCTTCTAGGATTCAGCGTGTCAGTAAGTGTCTTTCTGCCTGTTTTTTTTTTTTTGTTTTTTTGCCCATTTATTTACCAACTTAAAAACCATTTATTCTTTCACGTTTAACTATTCACATGTATCTTTACCGTAGTTATCATGCCATATCCTGATATGGGAAAGGTTTCCAAGCCTTCTCGGAAGAGTAATCATGAAATTGTTTTCCTGGCCTCTCTGGAACACTTTTCGGTCTAAGTCTACCAGGGCCATCGGGGTGCTTTCCCACTCATCACCTGAGAGTACTATATAAACGCTGCTAGTGGTCCCTGCGTTTTGCCTCACTCCAGTGTGAACGCTTATCAAATATGGAAACGAAGCATCGTTTCTGTTCCTCACCGCTGTGGCCCCAAGCTGTGATGTCGATGAAATAAATTACTAATTAAAAATTCATTCGTTCTCAGGAAGATATTTCTAGCATATAAATAACACTATTTTTACATGACTTGTACGGCTCTGTGCGCGATAACATAACTACTGACTGAATTTTTGGCAAATAAATCGTCATCGTTAGTCAAATTCGTAATTCGAATGATCCTTATGCAAATTTAAAGTTAGAACGATCAACTTCTCCCCATGCCTCACTTCCAAAAATTACTTGAGTGTGGTAACCGTGCGGTAAGCGTACGATTGCTATGCGGTATAAATGATAGACGGTAAATCTTTACAGTGACTAGATGTAATGTCATACCTTATCAAGGTCTCTCCTATCAAATCTTCGAGCAATGATGATAAGGACAAAGTACAATCCAAACAGGAGGCAAACCATTAACAAAACCGCAAAGTTATTGCTAAGGTCAGCAGAAAAAACCTTATCAAAATCGATTGGATTTGGCGCCACAAGAAAATCACTGGCGAATGATGTGAGATGACTACACTTGCAGTGAACAAGTTCAGGTGTGGTTTCTTCTCCGACCTGTTAGGAAGTAATGATTCATCAAACATCATCGAAATCAACAGGTGAGCTGTCTCAAAAACTGACATCAAAGTTAAAGAAACAAAGAACAACGGTTGGGCTGTCTTGAATGTGGGCATCAAAGTCAAAGAAACAAAGAAGATCAGATGAGCTTAAAAATGGGCATCAAATTCGAAGAAACAAAGAACAACAGATGAGCTTAAAAGTGGACATCAAAGTTGAAGAAATAAAGAACAGCGGATGAACTGTCTTGAAAATGGACATCAAGTTCAAAGAAACAAAGAAAATCAGATGAGCTTAAAAATGGGCATCAAATTCGAAGAAACAAAAATAGCAGATGAACTGTCTTAAAAATGGACATCAAAGTCAAAGAAACAAAGAAAAACGGTTAACCTGTCCAAAAAAAGGGACCTCAAAGTCAAAAGAAACAAAGAAAAACGACAACAGAAACAAATAACGAAAGCAAAAACTCCAACTGGCGTTTGAAGGACCAGTCACTATCTATTGCTGGTGTTGGGGAGGTGGGGGTAAGGGGGGGGGGTGGTAAGGTGGGGGGGGGGGTAAAGGGGTCGGAGAAATATATGGGCTATCACAAGGTTTTCAGAGGGGAATGGAAGGGGGATCAGTCGTCGCTAACAGAGTATGAAAGGGTACTCTAGAAAACTGACAGCAAATAAGGGGGATAAGATCACAAGCCCCCCCCCCCCCCTTCGAGACGATCCCTTAGCAGCCTGTAATCATGTACCTTGCATCCCTTGTTGATCCAGTTTTCACTTTTTTCATCCCAGAATAAACAATTGGATGAAAACACTCTCATCAAGTAATGCTCTGTGTCATTGGGGTTAAAGAGGTTCCCTTGGTAGTCGACATTTGCAGGTCTGGTTCCAGACAGCTGTGTGGAAGGAGTGGTTGGTTTTGGTGGGGGTGGCGGTATAATAACACATGACCTCTTCGTTCTCCCATGAGCTCCCCTGCAGGCGATTGGAATATGTTCAACATCGATATCTCTTCGTCTGCGCTCAACATTTGGAGAGCTTGTTGCTTTCTCTGCCTCTGGCTCAGGTTCCTCGTAAACTATGGCTGGAAAAAATGAAGTACGATTCCGTAGTAAGTTCGTTCCATTGTATTGTATAGTGCACCTTCACAGCGCGCAATTTCCCCCGCACTCAGACCCTAAATAGATAGTTTTTCTTTAAACGTACACTTACCAAGGTAATACTTGCCACTTTTAGTCACCACTTCATTGCTGATAGAGACAGTATACGGATCTCTTTTGCAATCTCTTTCTACGTCAATTACAGTGATCTGTTCAATCCCAGATGAATTGCGCCCGGACGAGTTCGTGATGTTGCTTGCGGAACCTGGTAACGACGAATTGATAAGCCTGGAGACATTTTGATAGGAACAACTGCGGAGATCCGGTATCGTCCAGTTATATTCAAAGTTTTCCAGGGTCGGTCTTTCGTTATACCGTAAAAGAACTGTAAGTTTTCCAAGAGACTCGTTTACGGGCCTCAGTTGGATGTGAACAGAGTAGTTTACAGATTTAACGTCAACTTGATGGTACTGAATGAATTTTCTATCTCCAAATGGTTTCACATAGAAATCTTCATATTTAGCGAGGTTGCTTGCATTGCGAGGTATGTAAAGTTCAGCGTCTCTAGAGAAGTTAGATGTGTCGAGAGGCTTCCGACTTTCGTCCTTAATGTTGAGGCTGACCTGATAGGAATTGACCTGTTTGCTGGTGTTCGACCAAGTGTATAAGTTGTCTGGGATGGAGGTCATCTGAAAAAATAACATAAGAGTGTTCGCGATCAATCGGTACACGAAGAGACAAACTGAGTAAAGGAAAGTTATGGAGATAAAAATTGCAGTGACAAGATGAATGCGTCGTTTTTTTTGTCGTCTGGATTTCAGTAACCGATAGGAATAAGAGAAGGGATATACAAACTAAACTATTTATTTATATTTTTAATGATATAGGTGACACGCGCACCGGCACCGCATCTTGCCGGGATTAGCAATATATATTGAGAGCTTCACGTGAGTGAATAGAATTGGAGTCTCAGGGATGGTCATGTATGTAAGGCTTTTTCCCGCGTTTACATAACCTCATTTGAACACGTGATGGTTTGGGAGAGTTTTAGGCGATTGATGCAAGCCACAGACGCATTCAGGTGTTTGCATAACTTTCGAAGGGTGTGAGGCTTTCTTGCAATATCGTGCAGTACGTAATCCTTCCTCTATCAAACCGGTTACGAGGTTAGACTTATAAAACATTTAAATATAATCCCAATTATTTCAGCTGTGATTTCAAGGAATTCTAGAGTAATCTTATCTCAGAATTGAATGTTTTAAGGATTATCGGGTGTTTCCTCTGTTTTTCCAACAACCATGGCTTACCTGTAATTCCACAGATGTGTACTGCAGTGATCCATTCTTATCAAGACCTAGTCCCATGTCCTCCAGAGATGGCAAGTTGAATTTAGTGTATTTGTCTGTGACACTGGTGTTACCCAAGTCTTGAAACAAGTCTTTCTTTACAGTTAGGTTGAAGTTGCGGGTTTTCATCACCACGGAAGGCTCTCCAGCCACCATGTTTTCCATAACAGTATGCCCCAAGTCGTCAACTAACGAATAGAGTTTTGACGTTCGTTTTCGTGCCTTAAATGAGGGGAAAAAGCGGAGGTCAAGAGCAGAGCAGAGTCAGTTCATGCTTTCTTTTTTCAACAACCGAGAGACTTCCACAATTTTTCCTCCGCGTGAAGGAAAATATGTATGAAATATCAGTTTGGTAGCTTCTCCAAAGATCAAAATTGAAATGATGAGCAAAAACGGGACGAAGATGATGGAGTATTAAGAAGACTGACAAGAATTGCAAATGAAAAACTTTAATAAATGCTAACAAAGATGCAAAGACTAGGAATAGGCTCGGTTACATTTCTAAAAGTTAGACAACTCCCCACGATCGGGACATGCGCAAGCCTTGAAAGTGTTCGTCTTCAAAGGAGAAGCCAAGTTGCTCATAATTATCTGTGCTTTCACATATATCCCTGCATGGTTTTTGTTGCAAGGTGTAGTGTTACTCAGTTCTGGTTGGAACGCCAAACCACAAGCTTTTTTTATTAAATTTTCAACTCCAGATATTGCTTTTGTAGAGTTCTGATTGGTTCACGTTCAGGATTTAGGGGCATTTCAGTAAAAATTTTTTCATTCGCGCTAGCTGGATACGAGATTGGTCTTGGCCATCTCATATCTAACACACACTCATGGAACAATTGTTAAATTTTTGGTCTCATTTTACTGACAGTTTGCCGTACTCACAGGGGCGTAGTCGTTGATTTTTCAAATGGGGGATTACACTGGGTCAAATAGAGGGTACTCACCAGTTTTCGCCACCTGCATATTGTAGGTTGTTTGTTTAAAGAAAGGCTTTCAAAGGGGGGTGGGGGTCACGGGTACCCCTTGATCCCCCTAGCTAGGCCCTTGACTCATTCGTACTGAAGAAGTAAAGTATCATGCTAATCACGATACTTCCGGTAGGGATTGGATCCAGACCATCCCGGTGAGTACTAGGTAACCGCGTCTCCAAATCACTCAGAACCAGTCCACTGGAATTTTGTCATTAAGCTAGTAGTCCTTGTGAGACATAATTTTCAGCACACTTTCATCGCTTACCTGTTTCTTGACGGAAACTGTTCCTCCAGTTGAATTTTTACCAGTAAAACCTGTTATGTTATCCCTTGAGTCCGCGTTTTCAACCTTCGCCAAGGAGGCCGAAGAAATAAGTACGTTTGCTAGTCCGCCTAGAAATGAGGTAACGGTTTCCTTAACAGCCTTGAATCCCGCGTTATTTTGCGATTCTTTTGTTAATACCAAGGCCATTATCCGAAATGTGACCAAAGCCAACTCCTAAAGAAAGAAGGATAGAAAACTTTTGAGACCCAGCGCCTTTAACTTTTAACTCCCATATGTGACCAAGGCAAAATTTCTCCTTACTAAATAAATATAATATCAAACAGATAAGTGACGAGAATAAAGAAAAATATTAGTTAGGGGATTAATAGTTGATTCAATCAATACCAAATTCTCAGAACTAACATCATAAGAAGCGTATGGCCGACAGTAAGGAGAATTACTCATGAGATCTTGGGAATGAAAGGGTTAACTATCTCACTCCAAAGAGTGACCAAAACATTCGCATCCCCGGCCCGTACAAAATCAAGACTATAACACAATAAGAAGGAAGAAGAATTTCAACCAGCTGGGGACAGAGTCTGATTTAACACCAAATTTTTATATCTAAAGTTACAAGATATGCATTGCAATTATTATGGAGAATTGATGTTTAGATCTTTGTAATGAAATGGTTACACGATTAAAAGATTTGGTCTTATGAGCCTGATAGCACCTTAGTTTTCCTAGCAACTAACGACCAGGATAATGGTTACTTCACGCTGGATAGGACATGATGCTAGTTTGTCTCAGTAAACCCTCAGCAATTCTGATTAGGGTTGGGTAGGAGATGCTTTTTAGAAGAACAAAGAAAAGGTCGAGAAAAATTTGTGGAGGGAAATTAAAGAAAGGGAGAAGGTGTTATGTACTTTCTGAACAAGGCAAGAAAATCAAAAAGAATCGTCTAGTTTACAAGAGTCTTTTAGTTGTAATTATCAATCGCACCTGAGATTTTGTATCCACTTCGTCTTTAACCTCAGTCGACACATCAATGGCTGATGCCAACAGTTTGACGTGACCCACTGTAGACATTTTAAACTCGGACAAATCTTTCAAAATTTCACGTCGAAGCTAAAAAACAAAGAAAAAAGAAATCAAGTTCCCTGGAGCGGCAATGAAAAATAAATTATCACTTCGCTCATGGCCGTTCAGACCGGCTTTGTTTTTATTTACTGGTATTGTAAGTGGTTATAGAACTGTAGATGGCATGTGTTATAAATTGGAAAAAAAAACTCGTGTTTAAAAGCTTCATGTAAATTAAAACATGTAACTTAAACAATCAGGGATCTTAGAGTGAAATTTGTCTGAGCGTCTGTTAACTTTTCTAAAAAGATGTTTGTGTTTGACCATAAAGGGAAGAAAGAAAGAAAAATAGAAAGTCTGAGTTTTCCGATTGGTCTTAAAGCAAACCAGTGGAAGGAAAATCAATGATCAGCGTCAAATATATTGTTTGAAAAAAGAGCGACCTTAAAATGGTCTTTGGCACGGCAGAAAAATGTCAGAGGCGAGGATGATACATAAAGAAAGTGACATGTGCGATTGATACTTCAGTATGAACGGAAGAATTGTTGAATCAGTCATACTTCTTTTCGAGCATCAACGCCTTCCTGATCTTCTGAAGTCATGTTTGCCCCGTCGTCGGCTTTCCTTCCTTGGTAGTTCAAAATCGAGCCAACAGCGTTAACAATTTCTACCATTTCCTGCAAGTTCCCTCTTTTCTTAGCTTCTTTCAACAAACCATCCTTGCCACCAATCAGCTCACCAAGTCTGTCACTGCTCAGGTCCGTAGGTTTTACCTTAAAAGAAAAAATACGTGTTTTAGATTAGGTGTACGTTATAATTGAAGACTCTTGGTAAGCTGATTTATTAGGAGTAGGGAAGGTACAGTTGATAACAATAATAATAATAAAAACAACAATAGCGATAATAATGATAATAATAATACCAAGATGGGTAGAAATAATAATAAAGATACTGATAATGACAACGATGACGATAATGATAATGAAATAGTGATATTGCTAATGATGATAGAATAGGTTCATGATGCGCACTTGGGAGTGCTAACATATGCGATGACCAGTTGTGCAAGGTTTTAAGGGAAATGAAAAATTTCACGCCGGTAGAGAGACAGGTCCTGCAGTACCCTAAAGCGTAGCATACATGATTTTAACATCACAAACTGAAACTATTAATTCCCTTGACTTAACTTCACGTAGACCGTTCCTTTAACTTAGATGACGAACACCGATTTTTTTTTTCGCTATGAAATGTAAAGAGAGGGTATTAGAACAACGTGACATTGGAATCTGAAAGCATCGCAAATTATTATGATTACAAATTATTACTTTTTAGTTAAAAAGGTGGAGAACTAAACAGTCTCTGACCACCCCCACCTCCCATTAACGTTTTTGCAAGGTAAAATAGAACTAAAATGAATGTCTTCATTATGATGAATTAGCGCACTGCGTTATGGCTGCTTCGAAGCATTCCGTGTAATCTTATTTCAATCTGTTGTTGATGTGGCATCCTACCTGAATTGTAATTGGCCTAACGGTGGCAGCACCCAATCTGTCAATTATCTTAAGCCTCATTTCCAGGGTGAAATTATTAGATTCGTGTCCCATTGGAAGAAGTACTGACGACGAAGTGGGTTCATGCGACATGAAAAACACGTTGTCCTGGTAGTAGTTGACGTAAGCAAACTCGTAGGTCAGCGGTTGATCAGGATCCATCCAATTGGAGCAATTTATCCTAAAGGACGTGTTCAGAGCATATCCTATCTTGGGGTATATTTCACAGGATCCTTGGAGAAAAAAATAAGCCAGTAATCATTATCAAGGTAAACATATCATCAATACGGCGAGGCAAAAATGTCTCCTTGTTTAGCATTCGGAAAGTCTAAAACTCAAAATCCCTCTCACGAAACATTCGATCCCCGTAGCTTTGAAGTTGCCCATGACTGTGGACTGTATATTTCAAATATAATAGATATTCGTTGCAAAGCACACAGGAATTGTTGTTATTAGTAAGGAAGAAGATAAATCCAGTTTCCTGATTGTCTCTCGATTGAAAATATTTCAGTTGGGCGAGTCACTTCCGCTTCGGCTAAGCTTTGTTCAAAGGAGCGGTCCTCGTTATAAAATAAAATAAAAATTCTGCATTTAAGTGATTAGATACTATAGCTTAGATTTTTCTGCGGTACATCTAATTGTTCCATCGTAAGGAAGTTTCAACAACGTTAGAATTGATTTACTTACCATTTTCTGGTGGAGAATTTGTTACAAAAGTATGGATGTACTCCCCGTATTGCCCGCTAAGCCGATAAGCTCTGAATACAGCTGTAAATTCTTGATCTTTCGGTAGTATGTCTTTATTTAGTGCAAGATTGAGTGACGTATCACCCGTTGATGATTTTTCTTTGAGGTTCTCCACCAGCTCCATCTCTTCAGTCTTTGTGGGATCTGTATTTGGCTTCAAGTGTCTAAACAGTTTCCACTCAAAATTCAGCTCCCCATAGCAATCTTTACAAGTACCCTTCAGGGGAAGTTTTTGGTCGATGTTTACTTTCGGCGGACAGACAGGACTGCATCTAATTGATTGAGTAACAAAAGAGACTCATTAGAAGTTAACTGGCTAAAGCAGGAGGTTTCCAAACTCCGTTGAAAACAGATCTACATAGACAACGGACCTAATTTTCTTAGATCCTGCTTCCTAATAATGGTTAACGGTGCAAATTTTGATGAAATCACGTGCATTAAAATTTAATAGAGGATTGATTAGCCGTCTGCCAGTTGGAACCCAGTACCTTCAACAGTAAATGATCTTCCCTCGTGACAGGGAAAGCGTTGTACGTATCACTAGCTGAAGAAAGGAGGTGAATTTTCCATAAAAATGGTGTCTATTTTGGTTAAATACTGATATGACGAACAATCTTCACCATTATTCATATAAAACCGTGGAGAAATCTATATAGATAACTAGAGGTGGATGAATGGAAAGAACCGGTTCTGCGTTACCTTTACTGAAGCCTATGTACTTGGAGATTGAAAGACTCTAAGTGTACTGATAATAGTTGCGGATTTTCCTTGAGGGCCTTTACTTGTGCGAAAGAAAGGGGTGAAGGAGATTTGAGGTGCTTCCTCGAGAGGAAGGTATTCAAGTAGATATATAAATGATTAGATAAAGCTTTGAAGGTTCTTAATTTTTTCAACAAGAATATCTGATCGTCACTAGTAAATGACAAATACTTACTGCACTTCCACTTCTGGTGGGTCGCCAAAGACAATTTCCATCTTATGATTGAAGACAGCTCTGTTACTCCAAAAGGGGTTTTCGTCGATGACGACAAGTGTGATGAAGTACCTAGCAACACAATAGCTAGTTTTACGTCTCTATGCATCAGAGCTCTAAAAGTCGTTGACTTAGTAACTCGTACCTAGGCCTCGGCTGCATTGTTAGTCTGGTACAAGCGTTTTCTAGCATATAACGGTATCCTGCAGAAAAAGTCTCCATGCTTCAAGTAACCGCTGTGGCCAAAGAAGCGACACGTTATTTGATAGTCGTGGAATCTCCGAAAAAAAATTTCCATAAATAACTTAAGAAATATTGTCCCTTACGAAAAATTCGCGACAGAAGAATGCCTCTTTCTGTCTTGATCATCCCCTATATTGGGGCTTTTTATTTGAGAGTTGTGACTGAAAGCGTTATTTTCAGAAGTAACTGAAATGTGAAGAGTGAGGTCGTCGTCCCCTCAACCGCATATATATTTCATAATCACCTCATGCCTGTTTTGTTATGCGCGGTTTATTTAATTCCATCATACTTACGTAGAATTTTCTGACATTCCCCGTCTGGAGTCAATGTACCCGACAGGACCCACGATATTGAGGCGACCTTTTCCAGTTTTAAAGCAGCCTCCACGGTTCTGAAAGAAATCGACATAGAAGATGATTATTAAAAATTAACAAGCCTCAGTGATCATCTTTTTAAGGTCTGCATTAAGACAAGAAATTTTTTTTTTGGAATAAGGGTGCTCTTGAGAATACCAGAGACTTGAGGAAAATATGATTTGATAGCCGTGGCTTGTCTGTTAGGAATGGTATGGGCAGCTTTATAAGAGCATGAATCTTCTCAACATCAAAAAAGTAAATTATTGGTTACCTTAGTTTTGTTTTGGCTGCCGCTACCATCAAGTTCTGGTACCTCAACAACTTGAATTTGGGTTAAATCTCCACTTGTGATAAATTCAGACTCTGAAGAGTTTCGACAAAGCCAATAATATTTCGGTGAAGCATCAGATAACCGCGGAAAATCTATATCCTTTGAAGACTCGGCGCTCACAGTAATCTAGAAAGAAAAGCAAGATAAATACACAAATAAACTTAAGAGAAGCTCTGGGTAAGTTTTTGGATTTTTTTCAAAAGTGTGAAATGCTGATTTAACTAGTAATTATCAACACGGTGTTTTTCACATCAAGTCACTTGAAGACGTCTTTGATCGTCTTCAATTTGGACTTCGATAGTAACTGATATTGATGAGGATTTAATTCAAAATATAACGATTTAAACATCGTGTCACCCAACTATATTACCTAAATTAATGGGGCCGAGGTTGATAGGTGGGCCGAGAAACTACTTATTCTAGGGTTTTTGAAACTGATGTGTTGTGCCTGTCAAAGATGATGATTTTGTTGTTCCTTCATTAACATCATCCTCCCCTTTCGGAATATTTTTATCCTCCTTCTTTGGGTTTGAATAAACTTACATTTTTCCCAAACTTGTACCGTTTGTATGGTCCTCCATCGATGAAAGCCGTCAAAGAATTGTTGGTTGGTACCACTTGGATATACCCTTCCGCTGACCCAGAGACGCCTTCAATACCTCCCATGGAAATGGTGAACTCAAGTTTGTAGAAGCCGAAGTCAAGGCCAGTTTCAGGTATGTTTAATTCAGCCTGATCATCCACTGTTAAAGGTATCGGAATACCCTCGGCCAGTGGCGTGTAAACTTTTGGATCCGATGATATCTGGAAACATTTCCACTTAAAAAGAGTACTTTTTGAAGCTTCACAATCAACCTCTGACTTGGTCCTTATTTGGATGGGTTCTGAACGTTTCTTCTCCGTAAACAGGCTCACGTCTGCACTCACATCTGGTTAAAAATAACAACAACAAAACATTTTACGCTATTTAGATCCCTCCCTTTTGCTCATCTGGGTGACATTTCCATCAGAGGGACACAGATTTTTGTGCCGGCTGGAAAAATTGCGCTCTAGCTGCACTTCTTATCTAAAGTGAAGGGGAATCCTCCAATCAAGAGCTAATTTCTCTAGTTCCGTGGGTGTCACCAAAAACAAGGTTCCACTTTTATTCGTAAATGTAGTATAAATCCTCAAAGATAATTTTGATCTTCATTGGGGGAATTTGAAATTAAGCAAAATATAATTGTCCCGTGTCCAAACCTTCTTCCGAATGCTCAACGAACGTTTTCTAGGTATCCTCACTCTCCTGGCCTCTCTTTGTGACATGGTAGACATTATACCGCCCATTAGTTAGACTTTTTGGCCATTTTGTGTTCATTAGGATTGTTTGCGTCACAACATATCAGAATGCAAACGAGACTAAACCAACGCATGTCGTCGGAATCTCTTACACGCCACGTGAGCTTCAAGAACAGCAAAAAGGAAAGCAATGACCAGATTAACTGAAACAGTGAAAGTAAAAACAGCAAATCGACTCACCCAACATTGAGGCGTTAGGATAGAAGCATGAAAGTGCCACTATGACCGATTTGTACTCTAGCGTTTGGCGTGATACAGTGTTGGTGGCGTTGATTTTCACCCAGAATTCATCAATAGAGGAATAAATGTAGCTTTGAACAAAGCTATTGGAGTTTTCATCTATGACATTTGCATTAGGCTGACAGTAACCCAACATGAATAAACCTTTGTTATCACCCATGTCCATACGGATACACGTTTTGGTTCCGAATTTGGAAAAACCAAGGTGGAAGCGAGTTGTTTGGTTGATCTTTACGGGACTGTTATCATCAATAGTGAGGCCCATGATACTCTTCTCGGTTTTGAGTAAAAACATCCTTGTCACGCTGCTGACAAGATTGAACACGGTTACGTTTGTCCAATACTCGCTCACACCCTCAGCGAACTTGTGGGTAATAAAAGCTTCACTAGTGTTTTGCTCGTTGTTATCATCGAACCTCCACCAGTAGGTGAGATTTGTTCCTCTATTTGGCGCAGCGGTAAAATTTACGGGGTACTCACAGGGAAATATGTTGTTATCGCTTCCAAATCCCGGAATGTTTGACCCATAGTCGCTGGTGGTTGTCCAAGTTTTGAACTCCACTTCTGTTACGTCAACTTGAATTATGAGGGTTATCGAGCGACTTGCCTCGGAAACTTTATTCTTGGCTCGAAGCTTGACGAGATAAACACCCGCTGTGCCTATGTGAGACGTGCTTGTGTTCAAAAAGTCTCCGGTATCCGTTTTCAACGAGGTATAACCAATGTTTGTTCCTTCCGCCTCTAAGACGAAGGTAACATTGGTACCGTTTGCCATTGTCCAATGGATAGGATTATAACGCCCAAGGATCTTAGGAGAAATCTCTGGTAGCACTAGTTCCTCTATTGGCTTTTGAACAACCGCAAAAGAAGTGAAGTTGATCTTACTTAATCTGTTTGAACAGTTAACATACACTGTGTAGAATCCCACATCAGAGTAATTGTGTCTAGACTTGAACTCAAGATTTATAAAAGGCGTTTTATCGGTGGTTACACCGTCTGCAAAGTATGTTTTATTATAGCAGTTCTTCCCGAAGAAGTCAAAACTGCCGTCTCCATAATTATAGACGCACTCGAAGTCGGAACCTTCTCCTAGATTAAGCGTGAACTCCACGTCATCGGTACGATTTGTTGGCGGGCTTGTAACACTGAGGTTGAAGAGGAGAACTACCGGTTTGCACACTGTTACTGTGCTAATCTTGACTACACTACTGATGCCATTAAAAGCTGTGATATTGAGTTTATAGTTCCCGTGAGTGATGTACGAGTGATTTCCAATAAGTTCACCCGAGGTCACGTTCTTTTTGTCGCCAAAATCGTAGATGAATCGAGGTTTGGACCCGTTTACGGTCAGATGGACCCTAAGTGTCCCATTTACTTCAAGACATGGGGTATCGTACTTTGGCTGTAAGAAAATAGTAATAGTAATAAAAGTTTACTTTTTACTTCAACTTCAACTTAATTTTGTCAAGCTTCTTTTTGCATTTGCGCTTCGACAGAGAAAATTTTCTTAATCAATGCATTTTTCGAATTATTTAATTACTTTTCATTAATTCTGTAAGCTTCATTTTACTTTCATTATTACTCATACATATATTTACCTCGATGGTAAGATTCCGTACCGGATCTTGTACCTCAGCTATGCTATTGGCTGTGACGGTGTTCAGTATATTCCATGCTTTGATACTGACATTGTAAAGACCGGCTGCACTGTAATTATGCCACAGGGAGATAACAAAGATATCTAGTACGTCGTCAATATTTACTATCCACATGGGTTCAGAACCGTCACCATAGTTAATGGAAACGTTTACACTACTTCCATTTCTTACTTCGATGCCAATATTTGTAGGATATCCTGTTTGCACTGTAGTAATATTTTTAACAAACCCAAAGCCATCTATAGCTGTTACAACCATCATTTTCAAACTGATTAGGGCCTCAGAGAAGAAGTTTGTCGCTGACAAGAGGACGCAGTAATCGCCAGTGGAAGAAAACGTGTGAGTTATTGTTCGGTTGGTGCTGTTTTGGATGGTGGAATTGTCACCGAAATTCCATCTGTATCTGTAGAGCAGAAAGTGAATGGGAGAAAACATAAATTCGGCAAGTATTGATTTTTTTGGCACCTTGATGCTTCTTAGGGTCGGAAGGAAACTCGCCTCTTGAGGAGGTTTATAAGCAAAACGCGCAGGGGAGAAGGAAAAGTAGGTAGGTCTGTTTAGAACTTGAAAATATTACTTGAAGAAGAATTTAAAATACTGCTTTAAGTGCTTAAAAGACAGCATGAAAAAGTCCACCGGCGTAGAACTATTAATGCTCTTTATTCCAAGAGGAGCCTAGTTCACTGAATGTTATGTTTTTTACGGTCATTCTAAAGAATCTAAGAAAGCGAATCTAAAATTCTACACGTGGTATCTCGTCAAAATCTCTTTCTACCTCGAGTTGTCGCTTTATGCGGACAGGGCTAGGGTTAGACTAATCAGACTACTGGTACTGAACAAGGGAACGAACAGATTGAGCGTATACTTACACGACACCATGCCCTTTGTGAGGATCTATTACAAACTCGATCGGTTCGTTTTTTCCGCTGATATTTTTGTACGATACTTTGATGGGAGGCTCAACCGGTTCATACACTTTGATGTACTTCTGTAGGTACGCTGCATGACCCTCCTGGTTGTAAATCCACAGTGTGACAAGATGACCTGGATCTGGGTTTGCTGTTGTGAAGATCTTCGAAATTGTTTTGTTGGGGCATCGAATGGATTCGTCTTCAAATTCCACGATGAACCTAAAAAGTTAGAATGCTGTTGATCTACCCTGAGCCTTTCTCCTTAGAGTGGGATCTGGGAGATGGGTTTATATTGAAGGACACGTGAAGATTCTTCTAATTTCAAGTTTGATGAAACTTTCAAGTCTAACGGGTTTAGGAATATTGGTTTCAGCAACCTTTATAGCATTTAGGATTTCAGTGAAAAGGCCCTCAAATCAATGGGTGTTTAAGATCATAAAGTACCAAAAAAGAGAATTAAATAAATTCTCATTTCTGGCTAAAATAGAGCACAAACTCTATTCATTTGTTACTGAGGAAGAGTCTGTTCTGTTCGTTCTTAAACCTAATAACTCATCAACAGATACAACTAAAATGAAATCAAAGACTGTAGAAATCTTGAGATTAAGAGAAGTTTGTAGGTAGCATATCTCATTCCATGTTTTGAGTAAACTAGACTAATAAAGCCAATTTATTGTGGGAGCAGGTTCAAGCGTGAATGATGGTAAAAGATTTTTAATAGCGGCTTACGTGTAGTTTGTTTCATCCGAAATCTGTGCCACATCCGATCTCGTGATCTCCACGGTACTATTCAGAGCCCCAATCTCAGGATTGAAGGTAAAATTAAAATCAACAACTGAAAAGTAATGAAAATGGAAAAATGTAAGTAAACAAACAGACAAACAAACAAACAATATAAACCCATGCGTCTGAAAGCAAGATCATACTATACAACTTCATGCCAATACCTTACCAATGCGTCAGTGATAGCTGCAGGAGAAGATTAAATCTATAATCTCTTGATAGCTGCCATCCATAACAAGAATAAAATCATTGAAATCTCTCTCAATGCTTACATGATACCACGATATGATACTGGGTTAAGAAGACGATTATACTGATGACATCAGTATATGTCATCACATTCCATTTTCTTCTAATGAATTCTGCACAGCGCAAAGTTAGCTGAGGTACGCAAAATTCCAATTCGTTCATGACCAGTATGAAATAGAAAGTAGGTATTAATAATATTTTGATTTTACCTAATATCTCGTTGTAACACTCGCTGGATACTACACTGACAACATTTTCGACCATCACATGCATATCATGCCATCCCAGTTCTTTACACTCTAAGGGCCCCGATGTCCAGTTTTCGGTTTTGTTCCAGCGCCAGTAAACAGTGACCGGGGTGTCTGGGATGACTTCTACGCTGATATTCAGCTTTTGTCCAATTTTGCAGAGGGTACTGCTGACTTTTGCGGTCTAAAGGGTAAACAAAAAATATACAATCGACGCTTCCATAAGTAGATGCCATCACGAACAGGTTAATGTGATCGCGCGGGAAAGGTTCCGGCCGAATACACATCTTGGCGTCGCACTATAGACTTATTCCACCCCCCGCCCTCTGACCGAAATATAATTCTTATAAAGCTTCAAGTTTTTCAGGGTGCACAGCATCATTCCCTCATTATCAGCGCCGTAATATACATGTCCTTTTAACACTGAAGAATGAATTTCGTACCATGTTTTTTATTGGATCCCTGACGGTCACAGACTTTGTAGATGACTGGCACGGTGCTGACTGATGGCTAGTCCCTTTTACTTGGATGGTATAGATTCCAGCGCTGGCATATTGGTACGATGCAATCTTTTGGGGACTGGACACATCTGTTTTTGCGCCATCTCCAAATGAAATTTCGTAATCACCATTACAAGAATCCCATACGGTTACATTTAGAGTCTGACCTGTTCTGAGGATGTCTGACGTTATGTTAAAGGAAGCTAGAAAATGGAAATAGCTAAAGTTACCATGTGCAGCAATAAGCGATTTTATGGCAGTAATGTAGCAAAACATTGAGACCTTCAGCCGATCTACACACCTCTTCTAGACACCATGACACCTCACTTCACTTCACGACTCCTATGAAATTCCCTCTATCACGATCATTTTATTTACCTTTTTAACAATACAAAAATAATCTATCTGCAGAATTATAAGTTATAGAAGGCGAGAAGACCCAGAAAGCCACCGGGCTTATGGGAGAAGCCACCTCGCTATGAGAGAGGTCACCTCACTTATGGGAGAGGCCACCTAACGTATGAGAGAAGTCATCTCGCTTAAGGGAGAGGCCACCTCACTTATGAGAGAGGTCACGTCACTTATGAGAGAGACCACCTCACTTATGAGAGAGGTCACGTCACTTATGAAAGAGGCTACCTCACTTATGAGAGTGGTCACCTCACAATAATATGTTTAAAAAAGAATAGGCGCTGTGCGGCATTTAATTTCTATTTAGTAAACTTTGCCATCATGATGCACACTTAAAAACTCTCTCTACTGTAACGCTGCGCAAAGCTCCATTGCTTGCACGATTAAAGGGAAAACGAAACTTCAAAACTGCATTACCCGGCTCTTTACCGAATCTCTTTATATTACTCTGAAATAACGGTTCGACCCTTTACGGAACATTTAACAAGACCAGACAGTTGAGGCATTTATCACCAAAAGCCTAGAAAGAAAAGACCATTACGGTGTCTGCAGTCGCTCTTTTTACCCAGCTGTTTGAATAACGATTTCTCTTTCATGAAGAAACATTACTCAGAAGTAAAGCGACCTACAGACAAAGTTATCAGGTATTTTCAAACGGAAAAGTGGTGAATGAAGCCAAATTTAAACATGAATAGCGCTCATTAAGAAAAACTTTCATTCGTTACATCGAAGTTTCCATCCCTGCGCTCTCCTTGGGTATTCTTGCGAACTCGTTTTGAAGTGCTTGACGAAGAAGTCAAATTAAAACCTGAGCGCGCAAACTATTCACGCGGCTTACTTAAAAATTACGTCTCCTTGAGGATATTTATTCGCTCTTCTTAGAACAATTCAAAAACCAGCCTGTTTGTAATTCATTATTTATGGAGGGATGACTTGCACATTATTATTATTTTCAAGTCGCTTAAGATTCTTTATTTTCTTCTATAATCAATAGACTCTTCAATTTTTAATTCGAAAAATTTGGAGCCAGTTCTCTTATTGTCTTTTCAATTGAAGGTGTAAATATTTCCTATTTAAAAGGCTTAATAGAGCCATGAGAAACGAGACTCTGATAGTATAAGTAGTAATAAATAAAAGTTTAAGTTCTGTATCAATGTTATATCGATTCTGAGAGGAAACAATTTTATAAGATTATATTAATGAATCTTATATTCATCGTTTTTAGTCTTGATTTTGCGCTCTATAAATTTTTTTTCCTATTTTCCTCTGCGCTTTTTATCATGAATAAGTATTTGCTTTTCTGCATTATAGAGTCTTTAGACCGTCCAAATTAGAGTTAAAATATTGGTCACAGTTAACTACGCCTGCATATTCCATCTATTTATCACTGGATCGAAAAGCAGTTTTTATCGCCCAACAATTAAGTTTTACCTTCAATGGTCGTTGTCCACTGCATTGTCTGTGAAAAAAAACAAATAAAATGAAATGGAGACAGAATAAGAATGGAAGAAATTACTATCCCGTGAAGATATGATGAATACATTAGAATATTTTACATGAACTATAGTTTGTAACCACAAACATCTCTTGATGAATAGTCAATAGAAAATGAAGCTTCTGTCATCAGAAAATAACACAGCAGCTGCAATTCTGTTTCGTAAGTTTGTATTAAGCGAATTGTAGATGAAAAGGAGCAATAGGAGTTTTTTAAATTCCCAGAGCCGTTTGGATTAAGTAAAACATGAAGCTTGAAATTGTGGCTATTTACGATGCAAGTTTTTAGATTCCCATCACAAAACCCCCATCAATTTGCTGCGATGATCCGTCATTGTCTATAGAATTTTTTGCCTGCTGCTTTGTTATGCAATTTTTATCAAGAGAAAATGAAACGAAAAGCTTCCTAAACTTCGCATTTATTGCGAAGGAAATTATTTTTAATGTATCTTTTAAGGTCGGTTTCCAAAATTACAGATTACGAAAAACTGCACAAAATAAACAGGACGTGTAAATGACGAGGCTCTGTCTCAATAATTTTACTCTGTGGCTAGATAGTTGAGGTTTGGCAGCCACAAGAGTTAGTTAACTTTTTACTTAAAACTGGATGTATTAAATGATGCATGAAGCTTTCAAAGACTGATTAAGGTAATGGAAGACGCGGACTCAAAATCGTTTTGAGAAACGATATAAAAAAGTTCAGCGCATTGGATGAAAACTCTTTGGCTTCTGAATGATTTTAAACACTTTTCACAACTGATTAATTTCTTCCATATCCATGCAGTCAAACAATGATTTTCGTAATAATGGAACTAACGTTATTTGAACGTTCTGTTATATTGAAATTTCCAGTTATTTATCAAAATATCTATAGGTAAATTAGGACTGAAAGAAATCTGTAGATAAACTAAGTATTTCCAGGAAAAATGTCGAACAATTTCAAACACTGCGATGTAGACGTTTGGCATAAATTTTGTTGCATTTTGTATAGAGAAATCATGACTGGAAGTGTTTTTTGCAGGAGCCGAGAGTATCGTTTTATTTTGTGAATGTCGTGCCTTAAATACATTTTGTAAGGCTGTTAAATGACAGGTATCTCTCACTCTTAACTTTACCTTAGTGAAAAGAACAAAAATGTTAACTTACCAATAGACAAACGCACACTCTTACAATCAAGCTTTTTGCGATCCTCATTTTGCAGCGAAGACTTTAAAATTCAGACGTTTTTAATTTCTTCCAGCATAACCTGAAGCAAAAAATAGAGTATTGGAAAATTTTTAAATTGTAAAGACACTTGTATGGCACCACCCTAACGCAGCCAAAATATCCTGTATAATTTGGTGTCCCACACAAATTCAATTCAGCGTGGAAGTGAGGAAATAATTTGTATTTTCGAGGCCCGATAATTAAACTGCATTCTGTAATGACTTTCTTTTGTGATTATAATAGCTCGATGCAGGTGGCTGCGAAAGAGAGGAATTCTAATTGACGGGATAAATAAGCAAAGAAACTTGCAAGGTATGTAAATTATCTTATTGTCTCATGTTTCACTTTTGGGTGAAACTGAACTGACCCCAACTCATCGCAATGTTTGTGAAAAAGAAACACTCAAACCACTAGTAAAATTTAACCAAATAGCAATAGCCTATTCAAAGACCATTGCCCTTTCTTCTAGTCTGGATTTTAAAAAGGAAAAAAATATCACAACATCATGGCAGAAAATTAAACATATATTACTAAAATGTTTTTAAACTTCTGGCGATCTTTTTTGAAGTGCAATCTTTCGTGTTTGTGTTCACACATTATGAATGAATAAATCATTGACAAGTTGTAATGGTAAGTCAGTTCAAAATAACTTGAGTGCTAAAAAAATATCATAAAGATACCTTTCAAGATTCCTAATCAACTACATCTGCTGAATTTGCCTCTACAATGTTTTAGTAGGTCAAGATACTGTGATTGTCTATGAAGCAGGCGCTTGAAAACCAGTACTGTTGTTGGGCTCTTGCACTAGTTTCAATTTATCTTAACAAATCTACCATTTACACAACTCTTGTATCTAAATACTTACACTAGGCTCAACAATTGATTTATGGCTCACAGACAAGCTTCAGCACCGAATCAAGGCAGGAACAGCTGAACAGTTTAGGCAAATTTTCAAATTTGGAAGTATGATTTTACAATCATGTAATTACATGTAACAAGTGTAGTTTCTCCTTTTGTCTGTAAAGTAGCTATGTTATCCTGAAAACCATACGAACCAGACTGGTGGACGAGGTTAGAATCTCCCCCAGGTCAAACTCATAATTGATCGTATGGGGCTATGTCCCGCTTAGACGTTTCTTTTGTCAATTTGTGAAATCAATAGATTCTGTTCTTAAGCCTCCAGTTTAACGAGCCTTCGCTCAATTGAACATGCCTTTATGGAAAAAAACTTAGTATTAAAATAAATATTACAATTTCCGCTGATTTCGCTGGTTTCGTTACCAGCAGGGATATCTTTATCGAATTGTTCATGAAATAATACTGGCAGTCGTTAGTGAAGTGACGAAACTCATCAAAATGAATTCACGAATTGTTTCAGTGTGAATTCATTTAAGTTGTCGGCGTCACTAAAAGCTGCGTTTTTTCAGTTTGAAATGATCCAAACTTTGCCACTATGAATATTATGAGTGCTTCAAGTGGCGTAAATGGATTTGGGCGACCGCTACACAACTTACAGAATTCAGTTGCACTTGATTACGTTTCTCATAGCCAAAAGTCCTGCTCAAAATTTACTTTAGTAGGGGATCTGTGGTTAATTCCTTCATGTTAGAAGTTTTTAATCAACGAAAGAGCACAATTTCTGAGTAAAATCGTTCGCGTTTATTGTCTCTGAGTCCACTGAATGGTTTATCTTTTCTGCCGATATGCTTAACCAGCCAAGAAGGAAACAATTAGAGAAGGATGCGCCACAAAAATTGTCGCGCATAACACCGATCAAATTAAGATTGATTGTTTGGTTAAAATTATTTGAAGAAAAAAAACATCATTCCCAAGTTCCGCACACCACACTTACGACTTTGAAAGAAACAGAAACAGAGCATACAGTTCTTACCCTTAACAAAAGCGCTGGCAAGCCCTATCTCAACGAAACCACCTTTAATTGTCTCAATAAGAAAATATGTTATAATTGATCGCATGAATAATTATGAATGGAGATTTGCCATGTCCAGTTTCGCTGTTAAGCTGTTCAGAGCGAAATTCGAGCAGAATTTTTTTCTTTACGAGTAGTAAACTTGTTTTGTATTAGTATTCTGTCGAGCTGAATACGCCATCTATAAGTAATCCTCATCTCACTGAAAAATTAGGAAAGGCGCAAATCAGCGTCACGCATTAGTGAAAAAACACGGTGTAAACGTAAGTCTGTCGAATTTGATCGGGACTTACATCAAAACTTTTTGCGAGTTTAAAACTTTTAAGAATACATTTTAAAAACTTTATATTATTATGAGAAGTGCAAACTTGCTACGATTAGCAGAAATGGTTGTGTTTAACTATGCATGTTTTTCAAATTATGTTTCTTTGTGAGCGATCATTTATCATAGTTAGATATCATATATTCCTCGCAAGTTAAAATTGTCTTGGACCTTATGTTATATAGTGTTTAAAATCACGCATAGGCATGATAAGGGTGGATCGCCGACTGTTTAAATTCAGGGCAAAATTTTGTCTACAAATGAAACATGTTGCCGTGACATGTTGCAGAAAATTGCGTTTCTGTGGATAACGGAATAGAGGTGAATAATGCCCCAGAAGGCAGAATAGTTATGGTAGTAATTCATGTATATTATTATTTTTTTCTTCATAGTTTTTCAAGGCAGGAAATCCTTCACCGTACAGTCAGTGCGCTCCTTCGTGCGCCTATATTGTCATAATCTAACCAACCTGGAATATTTCCAATTGCGCAAAAGATTGAAACGGAAGATGCTCTCTGTATCATACATAATTGAACAGAAAAAAAACAGTGCAAATTATTTACTGGCTTCTGTTCAAATAGATCTAAATTTTTCTCGTTAAATTTTTTCTAATTTCGATGACTTTCGATGGAACGAAAGTTCATTAAAAAAAAAAAACAGAATTAAAATACTTAACGAAGGGTTTAAGGTGATTTGCTTGTCTCAATTTGGCACGCTTCGTCATATGTTAAGTTCGAATTAAAACCGAAGAGTTAAGGGTAATTTTAAGTCAGGAAATTTGGCAAATTAACGGCGCTGAAACCTTACGTGCGCGATGGTGTCAATATGAAATTTGACCTACTTGACAACATCAACAGGAATTTCTAATTTCGTTAAGTATCAACTTCCATATCCCATCCGCAAACAATGAAACAGGAACACGAAAATCTTCAGCCGATCTCTACAAATTCTTTCTTAACCTTCTTTCTACCCATGGTATCGCGTGGAAATTCACTTTTTGAGCGCATTTACCTATGATTAGCATTTCATTATATCACAACAGTTTAAAGGTTTTTAAGAATCTCAACTATTCACAACCTATTCCGCTGGCCTATCAGATTTCTTGAGCTTCAAGAAAACGCACTCACCTGAAGTGGTTATTTAAAGCGTTCGTTTTGGCCAAAAAAAACTTTCACCGCACCAGAAAGATTTTGAATATTTTCGAATGAAACATTTCCTTTATTGACCTCAGAGCGACGTGGGAAGCGCTTAAAACAGGGCAGTTGCTCCTGGAAACTGGTCGCAATAACCAATACATTATTGTTTTCTTAGAAGGAAGTCAATTTGCCTAAGGCCAAAAATATTATGACATAGTCAAACATGGGAACTGATCAATTTGATTCCTGGTGAGCCCCGAGTATATAAACAATTTTACGTTCTCTTTTTCATATTCACAGCTCAGTTAACTAAAAAAGAGGAAGCAAAACATGCATCGAAAGGTGAAGTCCTTATGCGCCCAGCTTTAAAATTATGGGAAACTTCTGAAACAATTAAGATTATGTGACATGAAGATGTTGTCTCAATGATAGGTATAAACCCCAACCTTTTTAGCGTATTTACAGGCCTCATCTTTCAAATTTTGGTATCCATACTAAGCGGGATCTTTACCAAACTATTGAAAACCGAAAAAGTCGTAATTTAATTTTCTATGAAACAAAATTGTCTCGTGCTAAACAAACATGACAGTTATTTCACATTCCTTTTTCTTTCGACAATGGAAAGCTTTGAGGATAGATTCCCTTTTAAGTCGGCTTAGTGAGTGAAGATTTTGCGACAAAAAGTATCTTTACCGTTTCTTTGTGGAAAAATATTTCCCTTTCAGGCTCCGCGATACAAAACGAAAAGAATTCTTACATATTACGTAATACATTATACATGTCTTTTAAAATTTACCTCTAGGATAGAAGATATCTAAATTTTCTGTATTGTTAACCGCAGACTCCATTAGAGAAATTTTTTCTCCAAAGATGTGTATATGACAGTCATTTCATAGCCCACTTTCGTAGACGCTGTTCAATTCTGCAGCAGTAGTGCACAAACGAAAAGCGCCATATAATAAGCGGAATCTCCTGCAAGTTTAGATCTGATCGCGCCTATATTTCAAAAAGTTGAAAGCAAGTTTTGTTGAAAAATTCATCCATTTTGGAAAGCATTTTAAACAGGATCTGAGAACATTTTCTGCCATACTTACTTAAGGTACAGTTTGCTCAGTTCAATGACTTAGCTCGTTCGTCGAAACAGATGTAGCATATGCCAAGAAATGTGATTTAAAAAAAACACTAAGAAGATATATTAACACCCTCCCCTGAATAAATAAGGTTGTTCGGTCCCTACAACCACGTGATTAAAATCTATTGGTAAGTAAATGCTCCATGTCTTCTACCGACCTGATGTACTCCAAGACTGATACGAAAGTCACTTATTTGATTTCGTTGCAGATTCTGAAACGGATACATAAAGGTGTCTCCTTTGGGCAGATATCGATAACGATAACATGCGATGTCTGACTGGTGGCTTCATACATACATCACAAGCCAATTTCATTACGTTGCAAATCGATATTTTGACAAACAATTAAAACCCGAACGCGCTGCACAGTATGGCCTTTTACAGACCTATGCTTCAAAATATTGATTGCTAGTCGTCAAACGTAAATTTCAGTCAAAGAAAAATTAATGACTCTGTAAAACTGACTGA